TCGACGCCTCCGAGTGAACGTCCATCTGCTCACAGTAGCCCGTGCAACGACGGATGGCCAAATTGTTCGCCTCATAGCCGTTCAGCAGAATCTTTCCCCTGATCGTGCCGTCCGTCTTGCGGCCGGCAATCACGTCCATCAGCGTCGTCTTACCAGCACCCGATGAGCCCATCAGAGCCGTCACTGAACCAGGCATCGCGAAGCCGCTAACACCCTTCAGCAGATCTAGCATCTCGTTCGTGTTCTTTGTGTTCGGCACCGAGTACCACAAGTCCTGGAACGCCAGCGTTACCGGGATGAAGTTCTTCTCGCGCTCCTTTACCTCAACGACAAAGGCCTTTCCATTGCTGTAAGAATTGCTCTTCTTCGGCGTCGCCACCAGCGCGTAGCTGCTATCCTTGTCCTCGTCTACGGTCTTCTTGGTCAGAATCGTGTGCTTTGGACTCTCGTACCGTTTATACTCCAGCACTAGGCAGCCTAGAAACATAAACACCACGTACGCCACGATCATGAAGATGATGCCGTAGATGATCCACGACTTCGCGGACGGAACGTCATACAGTGACAAGTAGTACTCGCCCATGTACACGTCGAAATCCGAGCAGTAGTCCACGCCCTTGTATACGCACACCTCAAACACCGACGAGCGGTACTGGTTCACGGCTAGACTACGTAAACACCACGCGATTGGATTAATCCAGTAGAGCCACACCAGCCAGTCCGGCATTTGGCTTTTGGCAACGATAAAGCCGGCGAACACCACAAAGAACAGGATTGTGACCATACCAATCGGCTTCGACACGTGTAGGTTCGGCGAGATCGACGCGATAAAGAAGAACCACGCTGCGAACGCCAGGTCCGTCAGAATCAGCATCATCAGGTAAATGATGAACGCGCTCGCCGAAGATACGAAGCCGCACATCCAGTACACCAACGGACCGAACACGATGGTCTCTGCGACCGCCAGCGGGATCTGGGACACTGAGCATGAGAGCACGTACGACGCCGTGCGGTAGAAGTTGGCACCACGTTGCTTGTAGAAGATGTCGCGGGCAGCCATATATGTTGGGATCTGCGAGGCCTGGCCCAGCGACAGAAACAGTACCACCTGGAAAAGTACACCCAAAATCACCTGAACGTTCATCGGGTCCACGTTCCAGAACGTCGACCCGTTGAACAAACCCATAACAATTACCATAATGCCACGGCCCTTGAGAAACGCCGTGTTGCGCATGTTCACCTTGTTCTGGCGCTCCATTAGTGTCCATGTGTTGTCCCAAAACGACTGGTGAAATTCTGGCATCGGGTCGATGTCGTTGCTAACATTCTTCAGCAGCTGCGGATCATATGGGGCTTCCAGCGCCGCCAGCATCTCGCGGTGGACACTTGAGCGCCGAAAATGCTCTGCAAACTCGCTCGCCCGTCGCGGGTAGTGGGCCATCCCAGATGGTAGTGCCGACTCGTGCTTATATTGCTTATTCGTTCCCAAATCTAGCAGGTAATCGGCCACATCACATTCAGGTGAACACTTGAAACCCAAGCTCTCAAAGTAGCCCATCACCTCAATGCGCGGGCCATGGTACATGACTTCGCCCTCGTTCAGGATGATCACGTCATCAAACAGCTCGAACACTTCCGGGGTGGGCTGCAACAGCGCGATCACCACTGTCTTCCGTAGTTTCTTGGCGATACTGCGCTGTGTCTTGATAATGTCGAAAGTTGCAGCACTATCGAGACCCGTACTGATCTCATCCATGAGCGTCACGTACTTCATGCCGAACTCCATCTCGCCAGTCGTCACGCGTTTGCGCTCGCCACCGGACACGCCGCGCATCATGCCGTTGCCCACAATGGTGTTCTGGCAGTATTCCAGACCAAGCTGCCGGATTACCACATCCGGATAGTGCGTGTACAGCGCCTGCACCGCATCCAGAGCGGCCTTGTTCTCCTCCGAAGTACCCCTCGACAGCTTCTTCTCGGCGCGCTGGGACATCTCGCCACCGCAAAAACGGTGTGCGTACTCGAGGGTCTCCTTAACGGTGAGTTTGGGAAAGTGCTTATCGCGCTGCGTCACGTAGGCCACAAATTGAGGCAGACGTCGCGTGATGTCGGCCTGTGCAACGCCATTGTACGTCACGTCGCCCTCGATCACCACGTTCATGTCAATCGGGAAGCGACCACTCAGCACCTTCATGAGCGATGATTTGCCTGAGCCGGGCTGGCCCAGCACCAACGTCATGGTGCCTGGCTTGAGTACGCCACTAGCGTTGCGTAGAATCTCTTTCCGTACCGTGTATTTCTTGGCCGACAGCTTGACCAAGCTCTTCCTGATCGTGTTCCAAATTGTCGGCAGCTCAGTCTTGCTCTCATTATCATCGATCACCATCACGTTTACGGCAATCGACAAGTTATTATAGCGCACTTCCATTTGCGGCATGGTACGACCTAATGCGGCCTCAAAGCGCGTGGCCATATAGTCATGCAGTATCTCCGGCCCATAGGCCATGAGTGCCGCGCCAGACTCGTGGCCTGGCGTCTTTTGGTTCAAGGTGGGTGACATGGCAGAAGTTCGTAGCTCACTGAGGTTCGAACTCTGGCTATTTATAGGTGTCAATGTCTGTCTAAAGTGGTCGATGTCGCAGTTGCGGTGCAAATTGAAAAATGACTTACCATTTCACGTGGCGGCAATGACAAAAAAAACTGCGCGCGTAATCAATAGGAGTCGTCTCATAATCGCATGCACATCTATGTTGATGCATCAACCCTAATCATCACATTGGATCAACGACTTGTATGAAATACTTTCGCCTCACGTAGGACGAGCGTGTCGACTGTATCCATCTTCGTGCTTCAAAAGGACGATTCTCGATGCAGCAGTCATTCCAACAGGACGCAATGATGAAGCCTGGTGCGAATGGATCTACTTATTTGGCGGGACAAAACGCGATCCGACCCCGCAATGTGCGAGCAATCAAAGTGTAAGAACGGTACTACTCTAACGCGCACCGCTTGTGCGACCATACAATGCTTTGGTGATTTGCCGAGTGGTGTCCAGCTCTTGTGACGTAGACATCAGGGACTGACGTCTTGTACAATCCCAGGAGCACAAGGATTTTTTTTGGGGCGACTTACTGGTGGGATCAGAATCCTTGGATAGTGGATGACAAGGAGATTATGCTATCAACTCCAATCAACACAGAAGTATTCACTGCTAGACGTCTGCACGCTAGCTGACTGACACATTCGACGAGTTTAAACACTGACTCACCGTATTCGGCTCCCAAATTCTGAGCTTAGTAGACGTACCATACAATTTTTAAACTAGGGCTATGGGCAACAGCCATAGTGATGGCAAGTCCCTATCTGCACGAAGCAGAAGTAATGCAGATACCGGCTCAGCTACGCTGCGAAACGGACCTGAGGTACTGAACAAGTACACGTGGACATTTATAAGTCAGGGGGTTGGTTACACACGGGCGCCAGCAGCACACGCCAGCGACAACATCGCCCTTGTCGCCCTTTATCAAGCCAGCAACAGAGTTCATTGAATCATCGACCACATGACTAATGTGCCTGAAACTGATTAAGAGGAGCTGGTGAATCTACAACAGCGAACACGAAACACGGGGCTTGTATTCACAGCGTATCCGCAGCTACATAGGTTCCCATGGAGCCTCCCACCCTCATTCACAACATACACGCTTTCAAAAGACTACAATGCCAACCGTTATATCGCGCCAAATAAAAGCTACATCCAGTACTAACGGCAAAACTCACCAGGCTACAACACCGAGACGGCTCACACGATGGTCCCGATGTGGCACTTACCGACCCATCTCTGAAAACACGGAGACACTCTTACGTAATACCAGGTCTGGGAATGCTACAGAGTATTTACCCATCAGATGGATTTGTACTTCCCGGACGCGACATGGGCTCGACATGCAAGAGGTTTCTGGCCTGTGCCGGGCAACATAGAGGACTCCTACACATCCCCTGGGACTGCGACGGTACGTCTAGGTCATAAGCATACATCATCACGCAGTGGAAACGATCGAAGGTATCATCCACTCAAATGGTCTTGTAAAAACAAGCAGCATTTTTGCGTTCGGCACCGAAGCTACCTCCGAGAGAGCATGCGGATATCAAGCACGTGTTCCCAGACAGCGCTGACATCGTTGGCCAGGCCTGGAAAAGAATATGGTGGATAGCGTGCTTCGTCTGCGTAATCACGCTCTAGATTCAACGGAACTGGAGTAACATAAGCAGGATAGTGCGTCCATGAAGCAAGAGGTAGCGGACGTCACAAAGGTCCTTCTTTGCCAACTCGAAGCGGTCACTATCAAGGAATAACGGAGATATAGGGATGTGAGCAATGACGTCTACCTCTACCTAGCAACGGAAATGTTTCAAGACACCATCGTCATTTGGCAGCCGGTACTGCAGTCCTCGTAACTGGCAGGAGACATTTCCTCGGGTACTTGAATGGCTGAGAACTTTACATAAGTCGTGTAAGCCATAACGGTAACTAGACAGTCTGTTAACAAAAAATATGCTCGAACAATCGAATTACTTCGAGATGAAGTAGATAGACATTTTAGTTGTGTGCTCCAATTCACAGGTCCATCAACTTACACCTCATAGTGACTGGTACTTCATGGACGAAGCGTATGATTATAAAGAGCTACATTAGTTACGTTCCGTTAGCAAGGTAAGTATCGGTCACTATGTGTTCTTGACCTTCCATTGAGTCTGCGTTATGCATGCTTGGCTCACCACTTCAAGAACCTCCATACATTTAAATGATCGCACATTCCTTAATATTATCGATCGATGACACTGCTGAATGATAATGCCATTTGCGCCCAAGATTCTCGTTTACCTCGTGGGCTCCGTCCTAACATGCCACTGTTCATGAGGACCAAATCCCGGGACGCCGTGCGCGGTACTGATGGATGCATAACCGACCAATCAGAGTCCAAGCGACCTTGCGCTCAGATATGCCCGGCAGTAAACGCGTTCAAGCGGAGTCTTTGACAAGCCAAATATTACCTCGAGAGCAAGTGTCATTCACCACTGAAGTGAATAGCTCGTCAGATATCATGGAGCCCCTCATGGCAAAAGATCGGCAGACGAGCCGACAAGATTACGGTAGTACTTTGACGTGTCAAGGGCCACTGGAAGATGACGATAAAGTGGCGATCAGCGACCAGGTGATGGTATCGGCTATTGCTAACCTCAGCACTGCTGTATGTCACATATGCAGTTTGAGGTTGAGTTGTTGTTGATCTGCTTGGTTATACTGGCTGATTGTGGGTGTTGTGGATGCTGCAGTATAATTTGGCAGTGATCAATTACGCGTTAATGATGTTGCAGCGGTCGTATCCCGATTCAAGTCCAGAGCTGCGGTCCATAGTGGATTCATGTTCATTAGTGGGGGCCATTGTGGGGCAGCTCACATTCGGCTATGTAGGGTCGGTCATGGGACGTAGAAAAGGAATGATCTTTACACTGCTGCTATCCATTTTGGGAGCTGCAGCGAGTGCAATTCTACCGTGGGGCAACGACTCCGTTTACTATATCTTGGCTGCTTGTCGGTTCATGCTCGGTGTAGGTGTAGGAGGGGTTTACCCGCTGTCAGCAGCTTCGGCGGTGGAATCTACCGACAGTAATGACGAGCTGAAGAAGAGCAAAGTGGTGGCGGCGGTATTTAGTTTTCAGGGCATCGGACAGCTACTCGCACCGCTTATGGCCTACATCATGCTGGACCTGAATACTCAGCGATTCATTGGGTGGCGAGTGCTGTTGCTAATTGGTGCGTTTCCTGGATTGTTCGTACTGCGACGAGCATTTCAAGTCAAAGAGGATCTGACACCATCACCTCTAACTCTGCCGATCGACCAGAAGAAGATGAATACGAAGACGTCTTCCAGATTTAAGCTGTGGGATAAAGTGCTAGAAAGCTCTTCGCTACAGCGCAAACTTTTTGGTGCATGTGCAAGCTGGTTTCTCTTCGACGTCTCCTTTTACGGGAACGTCATTTTCACGCCTATAATTGTGCAAGATACTTACGGCTTGGATAAACATCACTTCGCAGATGTTGCTCTTTGCTCTTTGGTTGTGGCAGCCATTGCTCTGCCTGGTAACCTGCTCACTGTATTAGTTGTCGGCAAGATGAGCTTTAAGACGATTCAGATACTGGGCTTTGTTGTCATGGCTCTACTGTTCCTGGCTCTCGGATTGTTCTACGATCAACTACTGGATCACGACTACAGACGACTCCTGCTAGGGATGTATGCGCTTACATTCTTTTTCTCGAATTTTGGACCAAATGTCGGTACGTTTTGTCTTCCAGCGGAGCTTTTCGCAGAAGATGTGCGTGTTGAGCTCAATGGTGTTGCTGCAGCTGTCGGAAAGCTGGGTGCTGCGCTCGGGGCAGCATCGTTTGGCATCATTGAAGCACGGTTTGGCGTATTACACCTACTAATGCTCAGTGCAACGGTCTCTCTATTAGGAGCACTAGTCACGTACAAGTTCATCCCCACAAAACACTACACCACTTAATGTGGAGCATGTAAACGAGTGCTCTAGCTGCTTATTGTTATTATATTGCTTAAGTATCCAACATTGTACTTCACGATGTAGTCGCACTTAGCGACTTACTTAAATCTCTCCTTATGACAAGCCCTGTCAATGTGGTGCACATTATGTCATGTGATTGGTCAATTTCCTATTCCCTCTATCATATGATATATTCTTAACCTGAGGTAAAAAGATTCGTGGCATTCCCCCCAAAACGCAAGATTCTCGAGAACTTATCAGCTCAATTGATCTTATCAGTGTCATGCCTTCGAGTCCTAATACTTGTGTGCTCGATGTGAACATGTTATCAACCGGCCTTGCGTCGGCTACAAGCGTCGCCATCGCGCAGCAGGTACAAGAGCAGCAAGCTCAACTCCAAGCCCAAGTACAAGCGGATGTAAAAGCGCAGACTTCCATGGCTGTGGCTCTTACGACGCCCACATCAATTAGCATCGCGACTCTCAAGCCCAAGACGCGTCGACGCCGCGCTGATGGCAATGGCAATTTGACAGTCGAACAGAAGCGTCGCATCTGTGAAAAACACCGTAATACGCCCAAGATTACGCAGAAGGACTTGTGTCGATGGGCCAAGCTGGAGTTCAACCTCCAACGCGCGCCGACGCAGCCTACGATGAGTAATATTCTCAAACACGAACACATGTTCAAGGACAATGTACTGGGTGTGCTTGGATCCCAACGAAAGACTATACGCCCGACGCGCCACGCGCACTTTGATCAGGTATTGGCCAATTGGGTCATGGAACGCCAGAACAAGGGCAATATCACTGGAGACATGATCAAGACAAAAGGTCGTGAGCTTGTCAAGCAGATGGGACTCGAGGGAAAATTGGGCTTTTCAAATGGCTGGTTGGCCTCGTTTAAAGCTCGTCATGGCCTTATGAAGCGTGCCAATAGTCTCCAGAATGACAAGATTAGTGCCACCAGCAACAGCACGACAATGAACAAGGATGGTGCGGCTTATGGCGGTATTCTAGACGCGAACAGTGGCATGCTGCCTAATGGACTGTCTGTGGACCCAAATTATATGCTGCCGCCAGTGTCCATGGACTTGACTATCGATCAGATCCAAGAGATGCTGCGCGACTATGTGCCGAGTGACGTCTACACTGTGGATGAGACGGGTTTATTCTTTCGTGCATCGCCCAAGAAACTCGTACAAGGTGACGAAGCCCAGTTGATGCTGGCAGACGAGGCGAGACTGACTGTTCTGCTAGCGGTGAACGCGGACGCCTCGGATCTCATGGAACCGTACATTATTGGCAACGTCGTGCCCCCTAAGAACATCAAGATGGCCTCCATCTCGCAGCTTGGCTACCACTATGTCTGTAGCAGCAAGGCCCGCATGACGGTGTTTATCTTCCAGCAGTGGCTGCGGGATTTTAACGCGCGCATGGCTAGTGCTCACCGCAACGTGGTGCTGCTTATGGATAACGCGCCGTCTCATGTACTGGGCTGCGTCGTACTTTCGAACGTGCGCGTGGTTATGTTCGCGCCTCACTTGGGCATGAAGGTGCAGCCGATGCGCGGCGGGATTCTGTCCGCTTTCAAGGGCAAGTACCGTCTTAAGCACCTCACTCTGGCCATTGATCACCTGGAGGACGGTCTGTCAAACGTCTACCATGTGACACAGATACAAGCCATGAGCTGGATTGTGGATGCGTGGCAGCAGACCTCTAGGGAGATAATTGTGAATGCCTGGAAGCCGCTGGGCATTACAGCGCCTTTTACATTCGACTCGAATATGGATGGATCGGATGACAAGAATGTGGAAGAAGAGCTCTGGGGCCTGCTCTACTGCCTGCAGCTTAGCGGTATTGTTAACACTAAGGTGTTAGTGAACTCGCGCTGGGAGAACGACATCCACAAGCGTCTCAACGAAGATATGATCGAAGATCCGAAGGAAAATGACGAAGAGTTTCGCGTGCCAGAAACCGCTCCGGTTAATCACTTAAGCGGTGGCACGGATCACCTGTCCTCCGACGAAGACCAACATCTGGGTCTGGGTGCTCAACCTATTACTGCCAAGGAACAGTTGAAGGCGTTTCGTGACGTCATTCGCCATCTGGAGCGTACGGGCGTGGGCGATCCTCGTGATCCGCAGCTGATGAACGTCATTGAATTTCTAAAGAAGAAGCAGCTGAGTCTGCGTTTCGACAACGCTAGCAATTCAACACTCACGATATAAGCCCGGGCACTTTCTTGCCTCTAAGTTAGCTGATGTGGCCATTTGGGACTGTCATTACATAACTCATAGTAAATGCTTGTGTATACTTGTAAACATTCTGTTTGCACGAATCTTTGTCCGCATGTACGTGCAGCGATGCAATTGTTCGACCCTACTCTGGCTGTTCATGCTTGTATTTTTTCCATCATATGCGATCGAAAAGCTTTGTTGGTTCCTAGCAACACCTTCAAATTTGGCAAAGACACCAACAATTTTTAGCGCAAAACCTTCATCTCACAGCAAAGCCCACTCAGCTCGTGCTCTTTTCTCAACAAGGCTTCTTCACCTCAGATCTTCTTGTTCATGTCAAGATGAAGCAAGCTTCGCGTACAGTTGCTTCACAATTTCTTCATTAAGCCTAGCTCAGCCTTGGCATTTTCGCTTACTTGTTGTTAGTCGCAAAGCGATGCCTCGTATCATGACCACTTTCTTCTACTTATTCTGTCTCATTCGGTAACGAGCATCGCGCAGACGTCTCAAATGCTGGATAATTTGTCTGTGATTTTGATAGCAAGAGTCAAGGACCTGCTCCATCATCACATGCATCATGGCTTGTGCTACACAGTTAGCGTGCTGTTGTGTCTCGCAATTACGCACCATGTCAGTAAGGGCCTTCCGCCAGTTTTACATCTAGAGTCATCTGCAATAAAGTCTCAACTTTGTCGTTAACATTTCGTTTACTACAGTAATTCTTTGTCAGAAGAGAATGTTTAGTTCATAAGCTGACACTTGATATGTGAGGTCACCAACCTCTGCTTTGATCTCGACAATGCTATCGAGCAATCACACCAGGAACGGGTAAAGTTTTGGTTTGTAACAAAACGGTGGGTGCTGATTACATCTTCATCTGGTCATTTGTAATGAACTCCTTGATCGCCTTCTTCTGTGCGGTCATGTCGCGACCCAGATCAGCGCTTAGCTGCTGAACAATCTGTCATTCACATGGAAAAGAAACAACATTTCTTAATGCATACTCTCAATGGACAAAACTGATGGTTTACAAAACTTTACCTTCTTCACCGTCAGCTCCTCGGCGTTGCCGTGAGTAATGATATCCCTGATCTTACTACGGACGTCGGCATCCAACACCTCCGTCTTGGACTTGGGTTCTTCTTTATCAACAAGGTCCACCTCATCCTGAAGATCGGTAGCAAGCTGCAACTCGTCCTTCTCAGCAGAACTGTTCTTTTCATTCTCACTTTCATCGTTGTCGTTGTCGCTTTCTACGATGCGCGACTTTTTTAGTCGACGAGTAACTTTCTTCTTTTTCACAATCGGCTTCTTCGATTCTTCAAAGTCGCTAGACGACTCAGACTCCGTCGCCTCATGGTCATTTTCACCTTCGTCTTCCTCTACAGCAACATCCTTCTTCTTTGTAGTCCTCCGCTTCTTCTTTGCAGGTTCATTTTCGCTCTTTTTTGCGGCTTTCACTCGCTTGTTCGCTTTCTGCTTCACTTTTTTCGCTGCAATTACGGCTTTCTTTTCGCCGAGCTGCAACAAAACAATCGACAAACACGTTAATACACACGTACATTTCTTTCGCTTCAGTTCGTCGCCAGATTGGGTATGTACCTTCGTCTTCTGAGGGTTGTAAAGCCAATCAACCAAACGATTCAGGAGGCCTTCTTTGTTGAACAATTTTCCTTCCTCATCAAAAGACTTCTTGGAACGATCTATCTGAATACTCCAAACAATCCAAACGTTACTACGGTATCGGCAACAAGAAAAACAAAACAAATCAAAGAGGTAACGTAGTCATACCGCCAAGAAATCCATCACGTCGTGAACGAAGATCAGCTTCCACTTGCCCATTTTAGCAATCAAATGCTCACGAGACTACAATTATCAAACAACGACAAAGCAAGTGCAAGCACTAAAATCACATGTCTATCCCATCAACAACAACCTCGACGAGATAAATGTAAAACCTTTTCGTCCTGCTCAATAACACCCGAAAAGTCCAGAATATGCTCCTTAATCACTTTCACCTGTACCAAATAACTCACTGTCAGTTCTCTCAATGCAACAATTGTATATGTTTCCCCTTCAACGGACATTTTTCTGCTGAAAACGACGTCCAAACATGATACTATAGAGCTGTTTGATCATGTCTTGCTGCTTTTTTCCAAGGGCCTCGACCTAATGCAGCATCACAACAGCAACAACACCTCAGAATTAGTAGCAACTTCTCGATCACACGTCATATTATCGTCTTACATTGTTCCGGACAAACTCCATCTCACGCACTTTGATGCCTTTACCCACTGGGGGCAAAAACTCATCCGCCTCGTCATTCTTGGCTTGTGTAAACGTAAACATTTGCGTCGTCTTACGCACTCGACCACTCAAACTCGTCGTACACATCGTATCGGACACTACAGCAAGTGCCTGCATATTATCAGTTGGTTTATCTATAGTCGCTGTCGCTGTATCCACTACTAAAGTCGTCACGGGCTTTTGCTGCTCGTCCATCATTATGACTAGTTTTTTTTATTCAAATCAATTTTTTTTTAAAAAACCAAGATAGTACACAATTATTTTTACATAAAAACAAAAGTATTGCTTTATGTTATTGACTACTATCGTGATGTTTTTACCTTATAGTACTGAATACACAATTTGTATTTAGGACTAAAAAGTAAAAACTATAATAATTTATACATAACAAGAGCTCAACGGATGCCAGACTTGTGTTGAAGCTGTTCGGTCGCTCGAAGAAGAACCCAATCCATGTGGCTGCCTATTTAGGAAATGTACAAGCACTTCAGTTGCTCTTGGAAGCCGGCTTTCGTGTAGATAGTTATGACAAAGTATCCCGCGTGCGTTTTACGACTGGTGGACGTTTGCGCAACTTTTTGTGTCCAAGCCGTTGACGTCCGAAGACGAAATGGCTGCCTCAATCTTCCGCACGACGCTTGTAACGCCACTGTATTGCGCGGTGAGCACAGGACAGATTTAAGCTGTTCAGTGGCTTATCGAACACGGCGTGGACGTGAATCTCAAGTCCAAGTCATCCTACTGGTCAGATCGAATACCACCACTTTTTGTGGCCGACAACCCCGACATCGTTACGTTACTCCTCGAGGCTGGTGCAAATCATTTGGACGTGCCGGATCCTGGCCATATGAACACGCTCACAGTGTTACAAATGGCCTATATGCGTGGCAACTTTCCTGTGGCACATGAATTGGAAGAATGGGGCGCTGACGTCGCTCTGACGCCTCTTCATGAAGCTGCAGCCAAGGACAGCACAGGGAATAGAAAGAAGCTACTGAAAATTGGTGCTGATCCTAATTGTGTAGGCGAGTATGGTTACACAGGCATGCATCGCCGTACACCATTACATTGGGCGGCCAATCAATGGTGCAGTTGAAGCCGTTAAAATGCTGCTTGAAGCTGGATCTGACCCAGATTTTCAGGACATCTTTGGTCGGTCACGTCTTCACTGGGCGGCACGTGTGAACAAGCTCGAGGTTGTTCGTGTGTTGCTAAGTAAGGATGCCTCCTATTAAAGTAAGCGTTAACCTGTTTGACTGTCTAGCACGATGCAGACATCGACGATCGCCTTTGCAATGGCGATATTGCCTTGCATATTGCTCAAAGTGTGGAATTTATGACAAGGACATTATAGTTCGTTGAGTAGCCTGTAAAACTAACACTTCTTGCCAGGTGGCTGTTTTCTCTTTACTTCTGGATAAGTTTGAGGTTTTCTCCTGCTTTGCTAACGAACGCAACGCATATCCAGGAAATCTGATGATAGACGAATCTATCCAAGTGGCAGACGCCATTATGCGCGCGTTGCAGACAAGGAGGCAAGTGCTGACATTTTTTGCAGGTGCTATTGTATTTTCGCAGGGCTTAAGTCTTGCTTAATGCTGATGCAGGCAACAAAAGTAGAATGGTCATATCGATATCAGTCTACATAACATTGCACTTCTCCTGGTCTCCAGTACGTCGTTCACTAGCAGCTACGGCATCTGTGTGGGCGGCCTCAGCGTGCTGGATGAGTGCAGACAATGTTGGAAAGACAGCACGGCATTGCGGACACACTTCACGAGCAGGAAGGTTTCCAGCAGACGCAGCGGATTGCATCGCAACCTGAGATGTTGTAGTAGACACTGAAGCTCTGTCAGAGTTCGATACGTCTGGGTGTGCGCGATTCACATGCGCGATAAGTTGACTCACGTAGTTGAATCTTTGCTGACACATGGGGCACATCTCGGAGTTCATAGTGATGGCACTTCCTGCAGCCGTGGCATTCTGTACCAAGGATGAGACTGCCGACTTGGTTCCGCTCACAACCGAAGCGGCGGCCTCCTTTGCGTTTTTGGGGAATCGGGAAGTTTGTCTCGGTTTGGCCCCGTTCGAACGCCAGGGCTTCAATTCTCCGAGCCACTGCTGTCGTTGAGCCTGCTGTTTATTCTCACAGGTATGATCAGTCTCGAATCGGTGCTTTAGACACACGTCTTGGTTACAATTGCTACAGTGGAACTGGTTTGACGGGTGCAAAACTTCTCTGCAGCCTTCCGCAGCACAACGTTTCTTGGACTGCTTGAGTTGCTGCTGTTTGAGCTTCTCGGGTGTACATTGGCCAATACGGACATGTTGTTCCCACACGGCATTGACGTCTTGTTCGGCAGTCCAGCGAATCATTTGCTTGCACACTGGGCATTGAACCACGCGCCGGTCGTGACTACCGGCTTTTGGACACTGATGGGAGTCGTATCTGCGGTGTTCGAGACAAAAGACGTCTTTGCAGCAGTCGCACGTGAACGGCAAAAAGTCCTGCTGGTGGCAAGCGGGTACGGAGCAGTGTGCGCCGATATCCATAGCTCTGTACTTGACGACAGGAGAATGTAGTAGACGCGATGGCTTGGCTTTTACTTTACTGACTCGTATGTTAAAAATGACAAAGAACCAGGGCTAATGATCCAAGGCGACTTGTTTTCGACAGTGATGCGAGTGCGCTGATGCGAGTACCGATTGTAAGGGCTGCGACTTAAAGAGGTGACGGGCTCATCCCATCTAGCGACAAATATAAATATCTGGAGCTTCCTGTTGGTAGTGTAGTCACTTGCGGCATAATCAATGCATATTTACTCGAGATTAAGTTAGAAACACCGAGGTTCGGCGAAAGGCAGATACAATCGGTGGAGTTACATGATGCTGCAGCGGCGCTCATCACCGTCCTCGACAAACCGTTCGATGTCTTCATCCGTGATCTTGCCTGGCGTCATATTCTTTGGGAACAGGTCCTTTGCAAGTACGTCTTCCATGTCAGAACGAAGATAAAAGAGCAAATAGGCTGATGGACTGACCACCTGCTGCTCTTCTACAACACGAACACGTTCGTCATCGTAATAGTACCACTGGTCGTCGACAAAGTTTTTCGCGTACGCCGTGTAGTGGCCTCCACCAAGAGCGCCCTGGTGATTTACGACACCGTATAGATTATACATGGTTTCGAGACAGCGCGACTGATCTAAGTTTGAGTTCGTGTATCCACGGCGCGCACGATTGCGTATCGCTGCTGCTTGAACTGCAGCTCCACGCTGGCTATCAGTTATTGATGACGCGATGCCAGTTGCATTGGTGCCTACTTTCGCGTCGGTTGATGTTACTTCTCCGTCATCGACAGTAGCACCTTCAGCTGATTCAGCTGATTCAGCTGGCAGTACGCCATCCTCAGGTTTTTCTCCTGCTGCGTTTTCCTCCGTTTCCACTGCCGGCAAAACGTCAGCCTCATTGGTATCTGAGCTAGCAGCGTCATTTATCGCGCTGCCAGGTGCAGATATCTGAGAATCAGGCGGGGCAGGTTCATTGCTGATAGCGCTCCCAGCACGAGACTTGAGTTTCATGAGCTTTCGTACAGGAGCTGATATTACACTCGATTTGCCTTTCGGCCTTTTCATTGGATACTTCTCCGGAATCTCAATATGCGGAGCCACGCAGGTCGAAAGATCTAAGTCGTGAATAGGGAACTCCACAAGCGATCCTAGCTTCCGGCGATATGTCTGCGTGTACTGGAAACGCTTTAGATGCACCACCATCACTGGTGGTAGACGCCAAATTTCAAGCTTCTTTGTCATTTCCTGGTGTCGTCTGCAGCTGGAGCAGTAGCCCTCGCTAATCTTTTCCTCACTTGTGAACGCATCCAAGCAATGCTTTAGTGGAACAGGGCCCTTGTCAATTGCTTCGTTTCGTGCGATGCTGTCATGATTCTCAATGTGCTTCATCTTGTCGATCATCTCGCGATCCTGGAACACACTTAGATCCCAATCAATCGCAATGGCTTCGTCTTCCAAAATATCAAGAGGGTCCGATGTGCACGGAATCGTGAGACCAAAGCTCCGCGTCAGCCATGATGACCGCGAATCTGTCAGTCCCTTATTTTCAACGCGGCGCAGCAAGAATCCACATTTTGAGCTAAAGCATACAGATGCATTGTCAAGGCCTGCAAAAACGCTATCAATGTGATTAGCAACGAGGCGGTCAGCATTTTGAGCGTCTTCACCGACCCATTCAGTCGGAGGCGTTGCATTCGGGCCCACATACTGCTTCACACGTTCCCACACCAGTTCATACAAACGGAGGCCACTAGTAAGCTCAGGGCAGAGCCGCACAAGATTTGGTGAGCCAAAGGGAACAGGCCTAAATGGGTTCTTGAAGTACACAGCCGAGTAACTCAGCTTGCGCGAAAGCAAAGGAATGTACAGCAATCGTGCTTGACGAGATCGCAATCTGTTGAGCGGAACCTTTAGATCATCCTCTGTACGACGAAGGCGGACGAGCACAAGGAATTGGTCGTCGTAGTTGGCATGTACTGTTGGTGGCTCCACAACGACTGCCGGAACGTACTCCTGTGATTGCGTTCGCATGCGCACATCAACCAACATACCCTTAGCCAGCGTCTCACAAAAAGACGGGTGATCAAAATCATCTTGTCGTGCTTCGCCTGCTCCATTTGCTTGAACGTATGATGGACGACGATGCCGCGTAGCCTCCACTATTTCCGTATCGAGCGGTTCCAATTGGAACGCAATAAGCCGATCGATACTGCGGATTTGGCCCACTCGGCGATTGTCAGCCTTAAAGCTTGATATCATCGATCCACTAAACTCGCACAATTTGATGTCACTCTCGGAAACGTCGGGCAAATTAAAATCATTGTGGCACATTTTCATCAGCTCGTGCTTCAGGTCAAAAATTGTCGCTGAAACACTCAATCGTACTGACACCTTCATTGGAGTTATTCCGTTGGCAAGCATCAGCTGCACCATTACCGTATTATGTTTGGGTTCGGGCAGCGGTACCTGCAGGAAAGTAAAAGGCTCAAATCGCGCCGATTTGAAGCCGCATACACTGCATGTAAGCAGCGACTTGTATTGTCCCGTGAACAAGGCAACAATAATCGATACTTCACGCCGGAGATGATTCCGCCACCATTCATCGGCAAGGTCTGCGTCATAGCGGCCATCGCTGTCTGGCTGCTCGATAAAAGGTTTGTCCTGAATACGGTTCAGATCCTCACTCAGCCCACTCAGTAAAAATGCGAGTAGTTCCTGTGCGTCTTGCTGATCATTGCCACGAAATACCTCGTTAAATTTGCCGATGGACTTCTTAAAATTTCTCGGAGATATTGATTTCTGTTTCACACACCACATGTCTTCAGCTAGCTTGCCGTACACTTCAGCCAGCTTTCCTTGCAGTCCTAGCGTACTGGTACGGTTGATATCCTCCAAGTACATGCCTGACACGAAGTATTCAGCCAACAGCTTTGTGTTTGTAAGGCACTGTAGGGCTGAGTTCATATAACACGTATTGCCGAGATTCGTTAGCCCAACTGAGCCACCTGAACGCATCCGGCGAGGGATAGCAAATTCTTGCTTCCGGCGAGTTTCACCTTCCAGTGGCACTAAAGATGAGTCTTCTTCTACATCAGCATGCTCATCCTCTTCGTTATCGTGCTCGTCCGTCTTTGACTTCTTCCTAGTCATTTTTTTATTCGAGGCAGCATCCCAAATATCCAGCATTGGAACACCATTGGCTCCAGCTACCACCTGCCGCTGAATCTCTGGACCACCACCGTACCATAACTTCAGTGCCATCCACAGTTGCTCACATATGATGACGTAGTGACGGCCCAGCTTAATGTCATCGGACGGCTTCAGCATCCGGTCGCGGCGATCATTCGTAAGCAGCGGGTAGTTGTTTATAGACTTTGGGCGTGTGATCTCTCCCTTGAGGTTTTTCATGTAGTTGTCTTTCTTAGCGGTACTACTACCGCTAGCCTGCACCTTTGACGTACTAGGAGTAGAAGTTACGGTAGGATTCACAACTGGGGCTGAAAGCGACAGAGACTCCTTCACATGAATCTTGATGTACCTGCACCAGTGTATATACCACTTGCGCTCAATCAGATACCACCGCTCGTCCTCTACCAATGTGGTGGGATCGTAAGGGGTATAGCACCCTGTCGCGATCAGCAGTTCTTCCTCCTTAGTGGCCGGAACCAAACCTAGATCGATGAACGCTACCTCGCGCATTATTCGCAATGTCGCCATCTCGTACTTTTGCTTAATCGCCCATGCCATGAACTCATTTAATGTAAGTGTTAGGGCCTCAGCGTGTGTTGACGATGGACCAACATCCAATATGCTTCTTCTATGTCCAAAGCCCTTCATGATGCCATTTACGAAAATGCCGAGTTCGGATCCTGATACTGACGGGGTTCGCGGACCCATGCTTTCGATCAATGATGATGATGACGAGCTCTTCGTAACATTCAGCGATGAATGCTTCTTTTCAATAAGCGTTGTAATTTGGCTTTCCAGGTCTGGGTTCTGGGTAATGTCCAGCCGAAGCATACTATAGATGTCTTCACGGGTCATGTACGAGCCATCAGCAACACTCGCAAATAGCTTAAATGCAAACCCAGCCTTTTCCTCGGTGCTACCTCGGCAAGCTGTTGACAATGCACTAACGAAGCTGAACACATCAATGTCAGAACCGTTTGCGCGCGAGCCAAAACAAGAGAAAACGCGGCAAAACCGCTCATCAGACATCTCCAGCGGGAAATCGCTGGTAAGCGCATCCACATCCACCGTATCACCGCCTCCCGAGGCACGGTAGTTACTAAAAGCATCCTGGAGAACAGCTACCTCCTTGGCATTAAAGTGGGTCTCATTCGCGAGTATTTTCTGCTGTACTGCGGGGTTGAATTCTTCCTGCGACTCCAGCAGCTGAGGGTCGGCCGTCTCGCACAGGATATCGACAAAAGGCGCCATCCAGTCTACGAGAGTATGGTACACTTTCAGTTCTAAAACAATCTTGATAAAATGATCGCAGTTCATGCGCACACGGCCCTGGTCGAAACCTTCGTTATAAAGACGACGGAACTCCGGTTCATCTAGCACATGCCGCCCATGCAGTGACACCAAAAAATTACTAAGCCCAGTACTTTGCACTTTGCCTGCGTGGTCCAGATCGCACATGTTAAAGATGAATTGGAGCTGGTCCTCTATCGTACCACATCGCAAGATTGCTACTGCTCGCAAGAACTCGTCCATGTTGATGTCAGAGCCTTGCCGATCCGATACGGCTTTCATAAAACGCATCGCAAAGCTTGAAGGCATGTCAGGAAAAACACCAAGAATATCTCTCCGAAAAGAAGCGCGGCTGATACAAATCTGCGATCCAGCCGTATGCATAATGACACTATGGCGGTTTCCGCACTCATCTGTTGTGCTTCCCTTTGAAGGCTCCCCGGCGATAATCGAGGTTGTCGACAAGGCATCCGTGACCGGCGACGTTGGTGGTCGCACACTCGGAGACCCTGACAAATTCGGTGCCGCACTACCCGTAGCATTGCACAAGCTTTCAGCCTCTGTCTTCTGTCCACCAGACGTACTTCCATGGTATAAATATTTGGAAGAGCAAAATCGCTTGAAAGCCGTCGAAAAGTCTTCAAGCGTTTCTGTAGGCAGCATGTTCTTCATTCTCTCTGATTCAAGTTCCTTCTTATGACGCTGTAACTTGCGTTCGTACGACTCCATGTGCGCATACACTTCCAAAAAATTAAACAGCGGCACTCGAATTAACGGCCGGATATCCAGTACCTCATTAATGTATTTTTCCAATTCACTTCGTCGTTGCTCCACAACACTTTGATGGCGGTTGCGAAAAACATGACGTTTAGGAAAGTAGAGTTGTTTCACAGAAGAATTGGTCTTTTTCAGTCTCTCATGAAGCTCTCGAAAATCCGAGTATCGCTTACAAATGAGCCATTGCAGTCCTCCCTGTAGCTTCACTTCAACTGAAAACTCGGTATGTGTCGTCTTGTCAATCTCAGCTTCAGTGACTCCACTTGTGGGCAGCCGTACACTCTCAATCTCAAAAGAAGGTGCAGAACCAGACGAAGGACTTGAGTACGCATACTCAGATGGTTGTTTCTCTCTTGAGCGAAGACCAATGAGTTCACCGGAAGTATGGGATCTCTCCAGTGTCGGGATAGTGCGAGAACTGCCAGAATTTGGAGGCAACTGCGGCACAATATCATCGTCTGATGTGGCGTCCTGTTGTTCTGTTGTAACGTCTGATGCGTCATTGGCCACGGGAGCGGATGATGCGGTAGACAATGGGGATGACGACAGGGCGGCTTCTAAAGGCGTCGGGACACTGGGGGCAGAGGCCGCGTTTACCCCGTTAGTAGTACCGCGTAAACTGAGCTCAGAGGCCGAAGAGAGTGATACAACGTCTTCCTCTGCGTCCTCCTCGGCGACAGCAGCCACGTGCACGCTATTGGTGTCGCTGTCGTTGTTAATCACGGCGTCATCTTGACACAGAGTCAAGTCGTACGCAGGCAAGCTTGAGGACTTTCGAAGTGTAACGACGGGCATAGACTCCGTCGTTGAGGTCTCATCCATTCTAGTAGACGTTAGCGCCCTTAGATGTTCCCAGTGCGGAATGCAAGAGTGATGGTCGTGTGAGTTGACGTCTTGGAATGCCTTGTGAGCTTTTTATACGGTTGTTTCAGAGGGGAGTCCCTTTTTTGAGGTAATATACACACAGCAGCCTATCATATAGAATACTTGACAACATGGGGCAAAAACAGTACATTTCGATGACGTGAAAATAGAGAGTAGCGCAATGTATCGATCGAATTCGATGTCCGTGCTATATGTAGCAAGAGGCACACGAAAGTAGAGACACTTGAAGGATGCGAGCTAAGCGTGTTAAAGTTGTTGCACGGGCACACGATGACCAAACATAACGTGCACGCTAAATATGTTGTTTGATAGGGTATTGCTGGCGTCGTAAAGCAATCATGAGCTAATCGACAGATGGCAGCTGGAAGACGGGACAGTACGGGTTGAAGTTGCAGCACGTAAAGTTTACAGGTCATTGTCACTGTCGGTATCGAAGCTTGAGAGTTCCAGTAGCTGCTTGGCACGCTGCAACAGCTCAGTGCTATCGTCTTCTATGGCTTCGTCCTCCATCTCTTCATCGCTAAAATCGTCAAAGCGGATCCCGAGCTTCTTTTCGAGCTCAGCAATCGGTCGCTGCAAAACATCCATCGCGGTTGAGCTCGCGTCTCTTTCGCTGTCGCTGTGGAGACTCTCAATCAGGTCATCGACAGGCGCAACGCTTTGGCCAGCAGCATCAGAATCAAATGGTTTGGAATTCGCACGTGGAAGGAATGATGCAGGCTTCTCCGTCCTTAAGTATGCCGGGGTGGCTTGAAGTGTAGGCTGCTCGTCGTAATTTACACACGTGTAGACTCCGGCAGCTTGAAGTGTAGATATAGGTTCATCTTCCTGCTGTGCGGGTGATAGGTTTCGAGACGCCACAGGAAAGGGACGTTCTTGATGGTGCACCTGTGAAAGATCGAAAACAGCTCCAGACGTCGACGTTGCGTCGTCATTTTCTACTGCAAGCTGAAGCGGAAAGTGTCCTTCGTCTTCGTGAGCTTGGGAGGTCTGGTGGGCAGCTGGTAGCGCGACGACTTCCTCAAAGTGCTCCGGCAAGAACGTTTGCATGGTGTGCGGGATTTTTAGTGCTTCGTTCTCCACATGCGAAAACCCAAGGGCGGCTTCTGGAGAAGACTGTTTACTGGTCGGGGGGATGGTTGCAGCATATTGATCCTCGCTTTTCACTTCTTCTTCTGGCATTGTGGAGTCTTCCCTACGTCCAGTGCTGTGAGTAGAACTGGCCTCGTCAGCAGCAGCCTCACCCAGTATGTGCTCCATGCTACTATCACTGCGGTGGCTACTACTATTGCTGAGGTTGCCAAGCGCCTTCTCCAGTAAACTCGTGTCTGCCATCGTTCTTCGGCAAGAACCATTTGCAGAGCTCATGCTGCTTTCGCTGCTGGGCGGTCCTTGCATTTGTGTGTGAACGGCAAACTTGTTGGACACATAGTCTGACGTTCTCGGTAAAGGTTCATTCCCTTCACTGGCATTACCTTGGATTTCGTCATTAGCAAGGACATTGCATTGACTACGTATTTCTTCCCTGTCAGCGGCATCATCACGATTACGATGATCGCGGTAGGCATTGTCTGCTCCATTTCTGGTTGCTGCTTCTTTATGGGTAAGATCTCGCGAGTGATGTCGGAAGTTCTTATCTTCTGTTTCTTGTGCTTGTACTCTAGGCCTTTCGGTGTGGTCTCGTGCTTTGAGGTAGGCATCCTTACGGCCGTTTATCTCATGATTCAACTCATCGCACTCTTGCTGTTCGTTGTGGCGAGCACGCCGAGATCTCTCGTATTTAGATATTTCGTTGTCTTTCGCAAGCTGCTTTTCGAACAACTGTTTATCCAATTCCTCATAAACACGATTCTCTTGACTCTGAAGCGCACATTTTTCACGGTGACGCAACCGCATCTTTGCTTTACGCTCCTTCTCCTCATCCACCCTCTTCCAGCTCTCCAACCTTAGCATATCTTGAAGTTCTTGTCGCTTCACTTGAGTCTCAAACTCAGTGCGTAGACGCGACAACCGTTCCGCCATTTTGCGCTGCTTGTCAATCTCACGCACCCAATCGTGCGTCTCGAATTCGATACCCTGCAAGTCTTTTTTCTGTTTACGAGAAGAAACCTCGAGTTCCATCTGATCTTTTTGCGCTGCAAGTGTACTTACCAGTTTCTGATACTCCGATTGAAGCATTTTGGCTATTTCCTCGAGCGTTTTGTGAGCTGACAACTCCATGTTGGTAAGATGCTGAAGTCTTCTTTGTCGAGTCTCGTAGTCAAGCGTTATTAAATGAAGCATTCTCTCCCTTTCAGCCGCAATCGCTTCTTTCTGCCGTCTCTTTTGAGCATCAATAATCAATTTTCTGTCCTTCATCCATTTCTCGTGTTCTGTTTTGAGCTTCTTGGACACTTTTTCAGTTTGATCAAGAAGCTTTTGCTTATAAGACAGTTCTGCTTCTTCTAAAGCGATCCGGTTGCATTCCTGGCATCAAAATAGCAAATTTATAAGTATGTTGCCACCTTCCCAACCAAAAGAGTACTTACGCTGATTTGAGAGTCCACAGCGAGCCGTGGGTAATGTGCGAAAGCAGGGTACTGTCCTCTCGAAAGTGGCCAGAATCGACCGTGGCCTCGAGTTGTACTATCAGCAGCTGCCAGGTCTTTATTTGCCGCAAAGTCGTCCAGGTCCAGCTTGTCGCGCAAATTCATCATCAGCTGAATATACTTTTGGATATTGATTGCGTTCTGCTGGTGAAAAAACTGTTCAATCGAGAAACGATCGCAAGCAGCGAGGAGAGCTGTCCGGAAGTAGGACAGATATGCCAGAACGGCCACGAAGACGAGCTGTGGTGTGTCCGGCCACGTGAAGAGATGATCCCACAGACACATCCACTCGTCTTCACTAAGCACTTCCGTAAAAATAGTCTTAAGCAAACTCCAGGCATATACCTCAGACGCAACTTCATATTGAGTAAAATGATCGTAGAGCCGAGGTTCCCGACGCGCCAGTTCTTTTTCGATTGCACTCATAACGATTACGGGTGGATACGGAGGGTCCACAAGGAATTCGCCACACCAATGAAGCATGACGCTGAGACTTGCTTCAAATGCTGCCAGATCGTTCTCTCGGAAGATTTTGACAAACGGATACACATTAGCAGGCAAGTAGCTCATTTTACCGAAGGCAGGGCACCAATTGACAATTGCCGAAAGAATGCGGTGGAGACGTCGAAAAATGCGACCTTTTTGTAACTGGTAGTCGTCCTGTAGTCGAGTAAAGACAGGATGTTTGCCTTTCGCCACCAGTAACCGGAAAGCTTCTTCGTTTTTAGGCAAACGAAGAAGGAATCGCCAAACGAGTGCGCGGTATTTCTTGGGATACATACCATTGCATTTCAAGAAACCAACGAGACGCCTCCGATTAATTTCAATCTCTTGTGCTGTCAATTGAGCAGAAGGGCGACTTAAAGGACTTGGACGCCGAGTCCGATCATCCTTCCGCAATTTTGAAAAGGCATTGGCCATTACCTTTTGGGACGGCACACTGAATGACCCTATTGCGGCCTGAACTCTTGCTCGCGTGGCACTCGCTGGAAGCATGCGAGAACATTCAGTATAAATCGCAGTCGTTGCGCAACTTCGAGTCTGATTTGCTGTTTGCATAGCCTGTCGAGGGTATTTTGCTCCAAACAAGCTGTCAATTAGCTTTGAAGGGACGGGGCGATTATGCTCTGGTGCACTCATGTCCCATTCATTAGAGTCTACTGCTAAATCCACATCGTCCGAAAAATCTATTTTCTCCAAGCCAGATCGAGTGCGTATGCGAGCATGATCGTCTAACTCAATGAACCCCTCTTTTCTCTGCCGTTCCTGAGCTTTAGCAGCCGTTTTCCGTGCGATATCCATATCGTACAATAGTAGAAACCCGTCACTACATACATACAGAATAAGCGCCACCACATTGCAATCATCAAAAAAAAGTTTACCTTGTGGACGCTGCAAGATATCGAGCATGACATTCAATATCAAAAGTGGAAATAGTTCGGCCACGGTTGGAGATTTCTAGCTTGATCTGTGGGTCTTTCGCTGCAACGTCGAGAAAGACGACGCCTCCGTCGTCGGCTAAAAGGCTGATCATCGTATTATGTTCCGGAAGAAACGCATGCTGCAATAATACAGTCCGCAAATAAAAAAACACATCAGACTATTACCTTACTGAAGCATACAGAACACTCACTCACTCTGACGACTTGTTTAATCGGTAATGGTAGTTCCATAATACGTATAATCGTCTGTGATTCAATTTTCCACACATAAATAAACGGTGTTTTTCCACTACATGACTCAAAAAAGAAAAAACAAATCACCAACAAGTAAAAAAGACAATCATCAACAAGTTACAGACTCCACACCTCGCTACAAGCACTTGATGGTCCTCTGAGACTGCAATCTTTTGCAATCCAGGTGATTCTTCCTCCTCAGGCAATGAGAATTTGTACTTCAATGTAAGAGTCGTTAACTCCCACATCATAATAGTATCATCGTGAAAACACACAGCCACAAGGTCTTCTCGAAACACAAATTTGGCATCTTCCACTCCAGGTCCAGCGTTCAGCACTCGATATCGAGACCAGTCCTTTGTATCCCATAGAATGACTGCATCTTGTGAGGCCGTGAGTGCTAATTGTCCCGATTTCTGGAAAGAAGCACATTGTATCGCGAGTTTATGGCCTTGTAATGTGCTAATGAGTTTCTGCGTCTTTACGTCGATACATCGCACTGTCTTATCTTCACAGGTAACAAGCAGCTCCGTCTTATGCGTAGGACTGAAGCAACAGTGAGTCGTAGGAGTGCCTAGATGTTGCACTAATGTATATCGATTGGCTGTAACATAAAAGACAAAGACGCGGCCTCGCTCGTCGGTTGCCGCTAGGAGATCACCTGACGTATTGAACGTCACAGCGCGAAAAGTGGCAGGCCGCTTGTCATATGAACTAAGTGGTAGATTCTTTACACACGACAGAAGCCCCTTGCTACTCACTAGCGGTCTCCGTCGCCAAATTATACCGTCCTGCGTTGCCTGGAGCTCCAGCGTCTGCACCATGATACGCCAAACTCGTTCCAAAATGCGGTTGTCATTATTCCAGATCAATGCCATTCAACCTAGAGCACAATGCAGTAGTCATAATTCCAAATCAATGACATTTACGTCTCACTGACCATTCATGCGAACGGAGCCGCGTCTGCCGCGTCTGCATGTGGACGACCATGTAGTTCCCAGCGATAATGATAACGCTGTACAGGAAAATGACGCTCACGACGTGATGCTGTCTGTCACATCGTCTTCTCCGTCTACTGCGTCAACCACCAGCTCCATAAACACTCATATCGCTGATACAATCACCAAGACAACATCACATTCGTTTCTAGCTGAAGACGAGTATACGAGGAATGACAAACTTTCGAGATCTCAGCAGCTCTGGAACTGGCTGCAACGTCTACGACAGACATTTGGTACATCGTTCCTACTGCTTGTAAGCACAGTGTACGCTGTACAGGGTTTTACAAGCTTTAGTGCACTGGCAATCAATTATTTCTTTAAGGAAAAATTGGAGCTGCAGCCAGCAGAGTCACAGTCATTAATGACAGTTATGATGGTGCCTTGGGGGATCAAGCCACTCTATGGCATTATTTCTGACAATTTACCGCTGTTTGGATACCATCGCAAGTCATATATGATGTTGTGTAGTGTCATTGGTACATTCTCAACGCTCGCAATGGCTGTACCGAACTTAATTGCGACTCCACTTGGTGCTGTATTGATGCTCATGGTTAACAGTCTATCAACAGCAGTGATAGACGTTGTAATTGATGCAAGAGTTGTCGAGATGTCGAGATTAGACCCAAAATATGGAGCAAACGATTTACAATCAGTGTCCTGGATATCCATGTCGGTGGGTGGAGTACTAGGATCTTTTCTGTCCGGTCCAGCAACACACAATTTGGGTGTCCGTGGTGTCTTCTTTTTCGCAGCTATCGGACCACTGACGATTTTATTCTTCTCTATCTTCATGCATGAAGTGAAAACAACGGTAAGCAAACGTCATTGGAAGAATTCGGCGAAAAGACAACTGAGACAGTTAAAGAGCGCAATTTGCACGCCCGTCATTTGGATGTGTGCACTTTGGGTATTCTTGTCAGGTGCTATTAGCCCTGGGTATTCGCAGATTATGTTTTACTTTTCAACTGATGTGCTCAAGTTTACTCCCGAGTTTTTAGGAACTGTCTCTGCGTTTGGGTTCATCTTTTTGATGGTGGGCACCATGCTGTACAATGCTTGCTTCAAGGACATGTCATTTCGTCGCGTCTTTTTGGCTGCGCAGATTAGTATAGCTATGATATCACTATTGGACATCGTGCTGGTTACACGCTTTAATTTGACTGTTGGGATCCCTGACAAGGCATTTGTACTGGGTGACGCCGTGATCGCGGACGTCGTTAGTCGGCTGAAAACAATGCCTGTGATGGTGCTTTGCGCAAAGCTGTGCCCCAAAGGTATCGAGGGCACTCTGTTTGCGCTGTTGATGTCCATCGCCAATTTTTCTGGCTGTGTGAGCGAATTTTGGGGCGCTTTAGTCTGCACGTGGTTGGGTATTGCCAAGGATGAGTATGACATGCTATGGCTTGCCATTTTTTTGCGTAGTGTGCTAAAGGTGATTCCTATTTTCTTCCTTTACCTAATTCCGGTGACGGACCCTCAGAAGATTGTGGATGAGCTGGATTTTGGCTCATTTACTATCACGAAGGATGGAAGTTTTGAGGATGAGGACGAGGAGGGCGATGACGAACACGCTGGCACGATTCGCGAAGACCACACGGTAAAGGGCTGCTCCCCGAATGAATAAGGTGAGCTGGAAGATACCGTCACTGTTTTTGTTTGATGAATCATGCGTGCAGGTTTACTCAAAAGATTACTTAGCCACCGTACAATATCGAGGTATATGTATTAGATCTTGGTGTTTAAACGTTAGGGTTCTCTTTGTCGGGCAGCTCTGAAAAGGAGATGACCATGGCTGTGATGTTGTCCATACTGTGCTTGAGTAGGGCAGCCTCCACGAGGGCGTTGGCTGCGAATTGTAGCGCCTCCTTTGTTACATCCTCTGAGCTCGTGTGTTCTTCTGACCAATAGAACTCAGCAACCTTGGCGCGCACAATTTTGGCTGCATCATTGTCACTCAATCGGTCCCAGAGACCATCGCTTGCAAACACGAGATACTCACCAGCTGCTTCCACATTAAGAACACGAACATCCGGAATCACCGACACTAGCGGAGCTGAGCACGACGATGGCAGATTCGTCTTAAGTGGGTGGTCACCTAGAGATCGGCTAATGGCCAACCGCAGCGCGATTTGGTCGTGAGCTACACGCCAGCACCCGGAAAAAATGACTTTACCTCCTGCCTCTCTCACGCGATCCATCTCCTCCTTCAGGTCGGGTTTGTGATCAGTTGAGAGACGCACAGCACTTGGCGCCTCAACTTCATCGTCACTTGCCTCACTATTGTCGTCTGCCTGGGCTAACACACCGCGCGAGTCTCCAAGATTGGCAACAAAAAGCTTGCCGCCGACCAATAATCCCAGCAGCACCGTCGAGCCGTCACGTTTGTTTAAAATAACAGTGCGCTGCAAGATCTCAGCATCTACCGTTGCAAACGCGTCAGCCAGAAGCTCACAGATATTCTCCACATCGTCGGCGGTTAATGCGGCGTACCGCGCGCGCCGACTGATCGTTACGAGGTCTTTGTTCCCAGCCAACAATTCTTTAAAACGACGACGGGCATACTCGGATGCATACGCACCGTTATGACCGTCGTATACCGCCAGCAAACTCGGGGACGATTCAGCGTCCATCTCATCCTCAAACAAACGCTCAACCGCCGAGTATCGATCTTCCATGTACTGCCTTGCACCTTGCGCGAGTGATATACCAACTTGGACGCGCATTTTGGCAGCCTCTCGTCTTCTACTTGTGTTTCTATTGTTTTTGTATTTTGGATGGCAAATGGTCGTATACTCGACACATCGTGGAGTTTTTTTCTCCTCTTCGTGGAATCGCTTCAAAGCATTTTTGATTGCGTCCACTTTACGTCGTTTACGTTCTCTATTCTTGACCACAACACGTTGAATCGATGGCGTTGACGATGTCATCTTCGTTTCCTCGGGCAGAGATTGTGACGGCTGCGAGTCTTCCTGCTCATCGGGACTTGTCTCAGGACCTTCACAATCTAATATTCCTGCTGTGAAGATAATAAAGCACTCTAAATTAGCACCAGCAACAATTATTGAACCGTATAGAAACGAGCCAAGCAGCTAAGCTTACCAGACGTAGGCGACAGTGATTGTCGCTTGCGCTTGAGGGTAATCGGCGACGTAAAACTCTCCACTTCAGCTTCTAGTTGTGTATGAGTCGTATCGGTCTCATCTGCTACAATTTTGCTGAGTGCGTGGATGCTTGTGTGTTGAAGTAGTCGAGGAGTAGACGGCAACTTGCACTTGTCAGACGGTGTAGCAGAGCACATCTCGAGCCCCACCATACTGTTCACGCGGGAAGCTACCAGGACGTCAGCAGGTGCCATTTTGATATAGATTGCAGAAATGTAGACAAGATGCAGATAAAGAGAAAGAGAGAAGGCGACGTAACGAACGAATTCACACTCTTTACTCACTATATGGACCACAGACAACGTGTTAATACTGTACTGTAGTATATGTCTGTCAATTGAAAAGTGAATACCTGGATCCGAGTTCCCGCGTTTTTTTAGCGAAATCGGATTGGGCATTTCAAACCTACCCCGCATTGCAGTGAGCAAATATGCCATTGCACAGGAATATCATCGATTGTGGTATTACGATGGAAATGGACCCTAGCGTGAATGACAACGGGCGTCTCACAGGAATAGAACCAGATCCAACATTGTCTATTGCAAAAGACGGTCTTGATTACACGAAAGGATTTGGTTAACGTGCGACAATGTCTTCTTTACGTTGTACGATCATAGTATCAGTAGCTCTTAAATGTCAACAATTTCGATCTGGGCCAGTCCTTGCATCTCTCAGCTCTTCAATGCTGTTAATGTCAGACAGAGAGCCTTTTGTGCGAGACTTCTGAGAGCGTTTATGTGGTGCAACAACTTGATTAGACACATTTTAGGAGGATGAACGCTTTCAATTTGCACGAGGGCAATACTGCGAATGCGGTGGAGCTGCGACGCACTGTTTTGCATCTAAATGCACCAGAGATGGTAAATGTAAGGATCAAATGGCCATTGTCATCGTTGCGCTTCGTGTTGCTCAGAATTGAGTTGCGGGTGTTAGCTTACGGTACGTGGGTGACCAACCAACTCCAGTTTAAAAGATGTCGCGAACCTCGATACGGTAGTCGCCCAGTTACCAAGCGAAAGGAACTACAACCCGTGGGTCGCTGCGATGGCGTGACCGTGGTTTGTCGATTTGTTTGTATCCTACAAAGAAATAAAGGAGAGAATAAGCGCGGGCGGATTGCTCTTACACATTGTGAACCTCCTCGATGAGTATCTAAACGCATTTTGGTATCACCGGAGAATATTGCGAGTTTGGAAAGCTAGACGTTGCGACGAGGTCTCGAGTATATGGCTTCACATGATCCAGATTAAGGGGTGGCAGTGATGCTGTTTACGTTGCTGTGAGCTTTTCTGCATTTGGTGCAATGGTGGAATAATTGTCATTTTGTAGCGCATATCGTGGGGAGTCGAGATGGCTGCTGGCTCACGAACGCTGCAGCAGAAGCGGTCATTCGTCAGTACTCCAGATGCTTCACACAATCGCAGAGAATGGTACGCTAGTGCTCTATGAAGATTGCTGTTGGACATGGTAATATTGCGATAATGCAATATTTAAACCTGCAGATGCAACGAAAGATGCATGAAAGAGGCGACAGTGCTCGAAACTGCTGCAAATGGTCATTTAAACTTGTCCAATGGATGTACGTAGTCGTAGAGATAGCAACGTTGGAGCAGCGTTGTGACGTGCCGCTGAACACGGATGAGCTAGCGAGTGGTTGCATTTGGTTGTGTCAAGGGGATTAATTATCCGTAATGCTGCATGAGTTGTGTTGGAATTTGCCCACGCGTGCTCTTTGTAATACTGTATAGGGAAGAGGCATGACAACTATGACAACAGGTGAGCCATGGCAATTACTTGGATAACAAATGATCGTTCACCATCCGTTATGCTCCTGGGGATGATTGGCTTTTACTATCAAATCTTCTCCGAAGCCTCATGATGCTTGTTATAAACCTTCGGCTAACTCAGTCACAATTCAAGTCCACAAGTTCATGCGTCTTACATGCATTCTACTCGTTGTGGTGTTCATTCTTACCCACTGCTGCGACAGTGTCGTCAATGCAGACGGCACTGACCTGATGAAAAACGTTGCAATGGACTCGAACCGTGCGTTTACAAATGACGGAGATAATCAGCACTATCTCAAGAGAACCAAGATGGCGTCCATGGATGACGAAGAAAGAGGTGTTCTGAGTATCAAGACATTTGAGAACATGGTAGACAAGATTGAGACTAAAGCTCTAAAATCTGTTGAGAGTGCCAAGACAAAAGTCAGCGAGATTCTGAAAAAAGAGAGACATGCTTCGGTAACAGTAACGATCGATTTACTGAAAATGTTTGCAGCGGTAGCAGCCATTGCAGTTATTAGCGGGCTCATTGTTTATCATGTCAGCAATAATTGATACATCGAGAGAGAAAGCTCTGTGAAAGTGCTCGAGTTTACGCTTACGAGAACGTATTCAAATTTGCTGCTCTTATATCATCAACACTCATTTATTCGTTCTGTCCAGCGTCAAGAGCTACTTCCATTCCTCTTCATCTAGCTTGACCGCAGCAACCTTCGCTTTGAGAGCCTCAATGTCAGCAGAACTCTCCAGGTCACCACCGTTTTCAGCTACATTCACGATAGTGATTTGCCCTACCAATGGCTCATCCCCTGTAATTTCGCTTTGCTCCTGAGAGGTGGAGCTACGTGCACTGCCCACTTCTTCACTTCCACCGTCATCGTCATCGTCACTCCACGCATCTGCGATGACTGGGACGCGGCGAGGTTCAATGCGTTCCCAGCCACGATTGACAGGAACAGGAGGCCCAGTTGGCACTGGTGTCACCTGAGGAGGGCATATGCCGCTTCGGAGCGGGAGATATTTTAACCGGCTCAACGCTTGAGCTGCCTTTGCTTGCTTGTTGAGACTACTGATGCACGCAGACAACGTCACACTTGGTACGTGTGCATCCTTATGCTTAAAGAAAGACACTCGGCGACGCGGGTCTTCGCCAAATGATTCCGATACAACTCCGTAGAATGAGGCCAATTGGTGCATCAACGCTCGCTACAAAAGGCGTAAAATCATTCTGTCATTGTCCTACGTAAGAGCAAAAACCAGCATGAAAAACAACACAAACCTCTTCACCTGACATCACTCGCAGACTGACGCTGTGACATGACGGCTCCTGGACAATTCGCTCCAAACGACGCTCGACTACCGTTAAATAACTCGTGTTCGTCTTTCCCCAAGCAATCAATTCGTCTGGGTACTTTGGTGTCTTTATCTCTTCTTCAAATGCAGCGGCATCTCCGCTGGCAAGTCCAGGTCGAGTAACTCCAAGTGCTTGTGCCAGTCGTTGGTTGCGAAAGATTTGGCCCCGAGGCGGTGTTGGCGCACACCGAGCTGATACAGGTGGACCCTGAGTATGAGCACTTAGAGGCCGAGCTACAGCTGGCCTCAACAGCAAAGGAGGGGCAGGTCCAGCAGGTGTCGGTAGTGCTGGGAATGCGTCCTCCAGTCGCACCGTTGGAGATGGTGGATCATCACTAACACCGTAATTCCAATGGTCCGGCACTCCATCCGCGTAACCTGAGCTGACTGGTCCACTCACTGGATTTCCACCGCGGCGCGCGACTTGAAAATTGAAGTGTAGGCGATTGTGTACGCCGTGAATGGAACTCATATGCGCATGGTATTCTACGTCATTCGAGAACACAACGAAACGCATTTCGAGACTGCGACACCGCAAGAATATCAGCATCAGGCGCATTTTATGTCAACCCCATGTAAGATGCACGTACCATCTTGGATCCTCACATAAATGGTGCTCCCGGCGAAAATGCGTTTCCAAACTTGCGCTGCAGCACAAAGTACAGCGTTAGCCTGTGAGAACATACACTGACAACATAGAACACCACCACGTACTAATTGCGAAAGTATTCATTCTCCACTTTGCAGATATGGCACTTGAAGTGGTCGCGTTCCAAGTGTTCATACAGCTCCTTGTCTCCGTAAAATCGTTTTCGACAAAATTGACACATCGGGTGGAAATCTTTGCCGGTATTGGCGTGTTTCTGACCTGCTGGTCCACCACGACTACGTCCAATATTGTGTCCCTTGAGTGCACCTTTAGTAAATACTTCTTGTTCCTGAATGAAGAATGACTGATGGGTCAAGCACAGCTCACAGAACTCAACGCCATGATCATGACGCATATGCTCTTTCAATTGACCCAAAGTGTGCTTCATTTCTCGACAACGTTTTATCCTGCAATTAAACTCACGAAGACTGCGTAGCTCATAGTAATGAGCTCGACAGTCAACAAAGATCATTTCCGACTTTTCATCAAGTACCGACTCCGGCCCCGCTGCATCACCCCACAACTCAAAGCTCTCGTATAAACGTGTGCTGCTGCTGACAACCACACGTTCCATTGGCTGTTTACACATAGGACAGTTGCGATCGTCCATAATAAGCCGCATCCGCATAGAACACTTGCTGCAAATGCCGTGATGATTGCATACTCCTACCACATTAAACTTGATAGAATCTGCACACAATAGACAGAACTCTGGCTCCTGTTCTTCAGTAGAAGCTATTGCCGTCTCTTTCATAGAAGAAACAGCAGTTATCTTCTTAGAAGTCGGTTTCTTCCTCTTTTTAAGTTTAAACGTCGTCATTACGGTCTTTTTCTCTTCAGTTGCTGGTGTGATATGCTCCGTCTCTAGTGGCGGAATTGCTGCAGGTGTAGGGTTCTTCTTCCTGCGCTGGCGAGAACGCGGACGTCGTTTATGTTGATCTGAAGCGTCTTGGACGTTGGCTACAGAGTCGTTAGAAGGAGCTCTGGCGTGTCTGCGGACAGAGCTAGGCACCATCGTGAAGGATGACGTAAGAGGTGATAAAGTGGAGGATCCAGCGATACTTTGGGCGGGAGTAGAGCTACTGGTTACGCTCGTCATCGAGCGAAGTACTTGCGAGAACGTTACAATTGGCAAATACAGCTATGGACCCAATTGGACTCAGATCAAAGACTCAGATCAAAGAAGAATGATGGTAAGCTACGTGTTGAGCACCGTAAGGAACGCGCAAAGAAACTTCGAGGTGTTTCAAGGGTTCGTATAACCAGGTTACGTAAAATAGTCCTGAGACATTTTTGCCAGATCTAACGACCCTATTAATAGTCGTCCCGGACGACTGACGATTCGTCCCCGTATCGTTTATAGGTGACTTACTTGTCCGCGAACTTAACAGCAGTCATGTCGATTGACCATCTAAAGACGGTAATACGACTGCAAGCAACTGTGGTTGAAGGCTTTGGTCGCGGTGGAAAGCAGCTGGGTTGTCCGACAGCCAACCTTTCAAGCAAGGATTTAGGCGACATTTTGGACCAATTGCCCACTGGTATTTACTGCGGCTGGGCTACAGTTGATGACAAGGGTCCCTATAAAGCTGTCGCTAGCATTGGCTGGAATCCTTATTTTAAGAATGAGGTGCGGTGGGTATGCAATGCATTTGAAACAAAAAAAGATAAACTGACTATTGTGCTCGGTATATTTGGCGTCGCTTCTTGTACTTGCTGCATTGCAGGAAAAGACGGTGGAACCTCATTTGCTGCATAAATTTGAAAAGGATTTTTACGGTGCACAGATCAAGTTCCTTATCGCTGGCTACATCCGCCCGGAAATGAATTTTTCGTCGCTCGAGGCGCTCATTAAGGCCATCCAGGACGACATTGCACAGTCGGATGAGTGGCTAGACACTCCGGAGGGCAAATCCTGGGCGCGAGATGCGCTGTTTCAGTAGGTTGAGGTAGCGCAATGCGATGCCAGGATGATTGTCTGATGTGTAATGAATGGGATTACTTACTTGAGACTCCTGATTCAATTAATATGTAAGCTTCAGGTAATTTGGCCGAAGTACACGCCGCAACAGCAGCAATTTCTTTTATTATCACTTGTACATTACGCTTTCCTCTTTCCCACGACAATACAAACAACACCGAGGACCATAAGCAAAATGCCAGGAATTTTCGTACGCAGATTCTGCTCTCGAAATAAAAATCGCCCCATTAGCACACTCCATATGCAGCCAGATCGCTTGATCGCGATCACGTACGAGACCTCGAGGTGCTGCATCGCCACGAGGTTGATATAGTACGCCACGACGCTCGTGACGCCAGTAAGGATGACAAATTTCCACGGAATCTTCACCTCTTGTCCGATCGGGACGTAGACCTCCTCACCTCCTACACGCTTTTTCTGTAAGATGTAGCTGCCTCCAGCCACAATGACCTGAATAGCAGCACCATACACTAGCGGCGTCGCGTTCTGCACGCCAATTTTGTCGAACGAGTTCGAGATACTCCACAGAAAAGCCACGATGATCATATATAGTGACCCTTTTCCCGCATTCGACACATCAACCAGTAGATCCTTGCTTGGGTATACGTCCTTGGCACTTTGCAGCCAGAAGCCTCCCAGCGTGGCAATCGAAACGCCCAGCATACCGGAGACCGTGGGAACTTCACCGAGCACGAGAAACGCAACGATCACAAGAAATGCGGGCGTGAAAGACAGGAATGGGACTGTCGCAGAGAGCGTAGAGATCTGAATAGCTCGGTTGTACAAGTAGCTAGTGACGATGTTAATGCCACCGCTGATGCACACGGACATCCAAAAGAGGTGGTTGAGCTGTGGTAAGCGACCACCAGAGTCCAACATGGCCCATAGAACGAATAACGGTACCTGGATGAGCCCACGCATTGCTACGATCATGAACGGGTCCATGAACTTGGTCAAGTACTTGCGCATGGGATCACAAAGCGCATTAACCGCTGAATTTAACACTGCCATGGAGATGCCGTACGAAATGAGCATTGCGACGAAACTGTTTTAGAAGATAATAAGAGAATGAAAATAGATTGACAGATAAAAGTTAGTGCCGAAGACTGCGGAGCGTCTGGCAATGGAAGTAGCTATTAATGCTGACGAGATACGATCTGAATATATTATTTGAAGGTTGTTAATTGGTGGAAAATGATTACAGCGTGACTGAATACGAAAGAGAGACAGAAATACTTGACTACATTAATACTGTCTAAACTGATAACTTTTCCTAACTGATAAAATAATGCTAATTCCGACAACGGCCGCGGACTATAGCAATAACTCAAGCTTGTCCTAGCTGATAAAGTTTTACAGGCATTACGTTAAGCAGGTTTCAATGCAGGTATGAGTACCCTAACCTTCGTAAGCATATTACATCGTCGCGACAGTCGCAGAATCGTACTGCTATATTGTCGATACCAGCGCTGTCACTCCTTTAGCAGGATTGTAGTTGACTAGTACGGTCGTGTAGGTGGTAGATTTCTAGACGCCCAGAGTCAGCGATGACGTACAAGTATCGACAAGCTTGACACTATTTTGAAAGACATTATATCGCGCGGCAGTAGATTTGTATACGAAAAGGTCCAGAGTGGTGGCACTGGCAATTGTTGTTACTACGAAGCTGATGATCCGGATAAGATCCGATTGTTTGCGTCAGTAGAAGGAGACCGCAAAAGAGCTGTATTGCCCCATCTTAGCAAGACGGTCAATAATTGCAGTACAATTACTAACTATATTTAGAATTACTTGCATGACCTGAGTACACCTAACGCAAAGCTAGTAAAATGTATGCTCGGCAACGGATGTGACTGGGAAAGTGACGGGCACTACGCGATTGCATTTAGGAGTTGTGACCTGCCGATCGACATATAGCTGTTGGCTCTAACATTCTGAGATCTTATAGCATACGTCAACTAGCTAAAGAATCTGGTTATGCGCGTCAAAATAAAGAATACGCGCTCTTCTGTTGGAGAACCAAAAGATAAATGTTCAGTAATATCATGCAATCGTATGAGCAAAAAGGAGCAAACCAACAAAAATCGTGATAACGCTTGTATTCTAAGAAATATTGCAAGTTAGCAAAATGCGTAAGTGCTCGCTATACAAACGTGTCCTCACTAGGTGTATCATCTCGTTGTCGATTCATCCATCATCCATTGTTATTAATAGAATTGTTGTATTGCGTCGTATCCTGACAGGTCTCCACACGCAAGAAACGGCACAAGCAGCGGATCGTGTTTTTCACCGTTCTTAAGTCCGTACTGCGGGAGCAAATACGACGTCATCACAGGCACATAGTTCGCTGGGATCCGGAATCCTTGACACACTACAAACGCCTCATTGCTCTGCGCGCGACTGCTCATAGGTTTAGAGCACGACACATTTTCGAAGAAAACGCTAAGCTGCGTAGCCAGCAAATCGTACTGCTCACAGCGAAAAATCTTAGCCACAAAAGCGCCGCCTTCTTCCAGCACATGAGTGGTAATGTTGAGCGCCGCAGCGAGCAACTCCGCCTGCACGAACTCGTCAATATCGTGCACTCCTGTAACGTCGGGTGCGCCGTCGCTCACAACCAATTGGGCCTTTGCACCGTGAAAGTGGCTGATTATCTGCTCGGCCGTACGTTTGGATGTGATGTCGCCCTGGAGCAGCTCTACACCTGCGATCGGCGCCATCTCCTGTAGATCCACCGATACGATACGCACATCGTAAGTGTCAACGCTCTGCGCATTGCTGTTGTCGTACAGCTTACGACTTAGCACTTGGCTCCAACTTCCAGGTGCTGCACACAAGTCCACGGCACGCTGTACATTCCGCAGAAAGTCAAATTGCTCGTCCAATTGCAGCAACTTGAACGCCGAACGCGCACGAAAACCTACTTCCTTGGCCTTGCGGTAATAAATATCCTGTTTACACGATAGTGAGTGTTAGCAGAGGTGCACACAAAGAGAAGAGAGAGAGAGTAGCATGTATACGCACTCGATTCGATTCACTGGACTTGGTCATTATCAGAAAATCTCAAAATACAGTCTATTTTTTTTACTTTTTCCCATATAAAGAGAGAATAAAATTTGACGGTTTTCTCCATACGGAAATACGGCACACACAATAAGTCGGTTGACATTAGCCCGTCCTCCGGTCATGCACGCACAAAGCCCTTTAACCGGTATTGGCTACGGCATGACCATGTCTGGTGACAATAGTAATTTTCCCTCTGTACCTGATGCGATGTTTGAGTCCGCTGTTGACTGCTTTGTGTGCGATAAGAAGTTTCACGGCTTCCGTCGCAAACATCGCTGTCGAGTACGTATCTGCGTCTGTAATTTTATACGCTCTTATATTGACGCTAATGCTGTACTTTATGCATGATTGTAGTCGTGTGGTAATGCCGTCTGTGGTGGCTGCTCGCGGACCCACAAAGTGATGCCAAGCACCACTATCGTCCGCTACAATAACGAGCCTGTGCGTGTATGTGACCGCTGCATTCGTGATCAGAATCAGTTGATGATGGAGCGACGACGTGCGGAAGATGTGGAGAGAGCACGTGCACGCCAAGTCGCGGTGTTGGAGGAGGAAGAGCGTCAACGCGAGGCGGAACGCAATCAAAGGGAACGAGAAGTGGCAGAAGCGCAGACTCGACGTGAGATGAGACTGCGCGCAATTGAAGAGAAACATTTGGGCTCTCGTCCGAACTTACGCACGTTGCGGTCCAGATATTCGAGAAGTCTGGATGACTGTGCACAAGATGCCCCGGCTCGGTCACTTTACTCGAAAGAACTAAGCTCGTTCCTTGAAGACGCTGAGAAGAGATCCGTTGCGTTGGTTGCTAAGCCGTATGCGACTGGCGAGATTTTTGAAGATAAAGAAGATTTGGATGGGGCAAAGACGGTGGAGACTACGGTTGTTCAGGAAGCCGAAGAGTGTGCCATTTGTCTCGAGACCATGGATGTTGGAGACGCGATTTATACGACAGCGTGTGGACACAGTTTTCATTGGAGCTGCCTTAAAGAGATCCAGAAATCGGACTCAAGCAACTACGACAAGTGTCCGTCGTGCCGTGCTACCATGACAGAAATGCAGGTGAAAAAGCAGTGTGATCATCCGCGCGTGCGACTTGGACATCGATTTTGCCGCGACTGCGGCGCCTCTGCCACAGAGAGGGATGCAAAACCTCGAATTGATGACACGACGGCTGTGAGCAGCTCTGGTATGCGAATGTCGACTCCTTCCGGTGCGTCGAACTTGAATCAACCGGTGTCGTACAGTGCCAACTCGCACGGTGCACTTGTGCGTTGTCCACAGTGCCATATACAAATGCGGGTACTGCCCCATATGTATAATATGTACGTTGTTATAGTGATTGTCAACGACCTCTTGTGTTCACGAGCTAACATTGTGCGCATGCGTTTGTTCGATTCCAGGCGCGTGGCATGTCCGTCGGGCCACATGTTCTTGGTTCAAGTTGCTGGGCAAGCAGGAAGTGGCGGTAGTGTACGCGGCGGTTACGGCATAGGATCGCGAGGTGGATTGGGTGGCTCAAGGATTCCCCCGCGTGGTATGAGCATGGGCTATCCGGGCTCATACCATCGCTCCACAAACGCCTACTCCGAGCTGTAGTAACGTAAGAACAAGACCACCAAGCCCAAATGTGCGTGCAACGTGAAGCGAAAGTAGCTTTTGACTCAGCGCCAACCCAACTAGAAGACGATGGTCTGCAAACGCTTTTGTACTGCTTAATGGACAGCTGCGCACACGATGCTATAACAAACGTCTATATGGCTTTCGAGGCTGACATCTCGTCTTGTCGAGGTTTGATATGGTCGATGTGATGGATATGAAACAAGCATTCGCTCATTTTTGAGGCAGTTTTCTGGACGCATGATTATTTCATATTTCGTCGCTGGGCTAAAACCGTGGGATGTCTTGGCCCAGCGTCTGTGCGCTGCCACTTCCACAAAACGTGAATCCAAGTTACCGCAGTTTAGCTTCAAAGCGGGATAGTAAGCAATTTCTGTCGTCGTTTTGTTACAACTTTGCGTGTGCGAGTTTCTTAGGCTTACATGTACCAATGCATGTAATGACTAATCATATTGAGCAAAGAGTCGACAGAGCGTACCTGCGCATGTATCCTCGGCAACCATGTTAAGATGTGACACCAACTTACACTGCAAAATCTTGTCCTCAAAGCATATTCACAGGGTTCATCTTAATCTAAAGTACCAAAATTGAAACGAACCTGGAATTTGGCAATATCAACAGTGTGGACCTTGAACAATTCGGCCATGTTCGACTAGATCCTGCTTGCTGCGAGCGTTCAAAATGCGCATTTTGCGGTTTATCATATAAACCGCGATATCTTCAGCAGTGCCTTTTAGCCCAGACTTGGTAATAGCTAGAATGCCGTAGCATCTGCATCAAGATGTAGACCAGCACAGCCACCTCACAGCCTCAACTCAGTCTGCGGCCTCTGGCTTCTAAGCTTAGCCAGATATAGGTGCATCTAATGTCAAAGTTATCATCAAGATCGGTGGCAGCAGCCGCCACATTGTGTTCTGATAGTCAAATTTAATGTCAGTTGGCAGCTGCATAGTGCCACCGAATGCCATTATTTAAATTCAAGCTACCTAACCTACCCCGACACGAAACCAATGCAGCAAGAGTGATGGTCCTGCAAGTTGAAGTTGTCCGTTCCGCACGGCGATCAGTATCAAGTCCCAGTCCGCACCCACAACATTAAAAGAAACAATCGTCATGTTCGAGAAAGGCAGCGAGACGAGCGTCGACTATACGCGTCCACATGTCAAGCAATTGGAGAGTCTACTGCAGAACCTGACGCAATGTGAAGAACGCAAGAGACAGCAGAGCGTCGAGAGCGCGGCCGCTGAGACGAGACACAAACTACTAAACGCTCAGCTAATTCAGAGTACGAATTCGATCCTTTGCGTCGGAGAAATGACACTTGTAGATTAGTAAGCAATACTTGTTCTTTGTCTTTTGAATCGTTTAGCTCAAGAAGAACTCGTTGTTGCTCAAGCGAGCAAGGCCAAGCTGTGTGAGGAGATCGGGATGTTAAAGCAGACCAAGCAACACCAATCGAAGCAGCTGGACAAGTACAAAATTGACTTGCAGACTGCACGGGAGGCAAAAGCCGTAATGACAAAGAAGGTGGAGCAACTGGAGGCGTCAACATGGACTATCAAACAGCAGTACATTCGGTACGTACGTCCGGCTGCTGCAAGAACCGGAGCAATTGATTGCAATCGAGCTTAACGACACCTTGTGCATTATAGATCGCTTGCTTCCCGTATCAAGACAAGTGCTCTGGTTCTCCAGCAGCTAAATGTAGCAAGTGAGACCACGATCAGTGCTCGGGTTGCTGAGAAATGTACTGCGATGAAGGAGGCGAAGTCCAACAAGCGCAAACGCATTCTAGAAGAAAATCAGATGCAACAAGCAAGTGAAGACGGCGGCAAGGTATTCTCGTGGCTCTTGCTCTCTGGAGCATGTTGATCTCACATACTATATATCAGCCCGAGTACACAGGAAGCCTTACGGAAAACGAGCCGCGCTCCAGGGACAGTCAACCGTCTGACTTCGTTGCAGTAGAGGGCCCTGCAGCTATAGCAGCACCAAGTAATGATACACAAATGATGAAGGGCTCCATGCTTTTGCCAAACGCAAGTCACAATGGTCGTAAGTGCGATGAAAAATGTGAAGACCGTCTTGAAAGCAAACACGAAGTTGGTGAATTGCGTGCAAACGTTACTAAACTCAAATCGGAGTATTTGGTGCTGAATGGTAAGCTAATCGGGTGCCTTGAGTAGTGGTTGATTTTATTCAACTAATGATGTCGCGTTATAGACAAGTATAATGCGCTTGTCCGCGACCATAACGAGAGTTTAGCCGAGAGAACGATGGCAGCTGAAGAAATCAAGGCAAAACAATCAAAAATAGAGGAGCTGACGCAGATGTTAGAAAGTTTGCGGTCAAAGCCGCATGATCTTACTACCGATACAAGCTCTGTGAGTGAAAAGGATAAGGAAGCTCAAGAAGGGCGCTTGAAGATGCTAGAGGTACAGCTCGGTGACTTATATGACGTTGGTGTGGCACTGATCATCGTTTTATCTGCAGGAAAACTTGGCGCAAATGAACGCATACGCTGATCAGCTAGAGATGGTCATCGCGCAGTGTCCGTCGTGCACCATCAAGCTCCGAAACGAGAGCACGCAGGATTCCATTGCTAGCAGAACGGAGTAAGAGATTGGAGAGACCAACAAGACGCGCATATATTTTTCAACCAAACTTTATCCGTTCTTAGCCCGTTGCATCTAGAGCAAAGGTGCTTGGTTGTGGGCTAGGTTGTAGAACTTGGTACCTTCCTGGTTCAGCTCCTCAAAGGTGCCAGTTTCGGCAATAACGCCCTCCTCCAGCAGAATGATGCGGCTGGCATGCTTTACTGTGTTTAACCGGTGCGCAATAACAAAAACGGCCCGCTTCGCCGCCGCTGACTCAAGTGCACGCCGAATCATGTCCTCGCTGCGGCCATCGAGAGAGCTCGTGGCCTCATCAAAAAGCAGGATGTTCGTTCGCCTGTATAGCGCACGGGCAATAGCAATGCGCTGCTTTTGACCACCTGACAACTCCACACCTTTTTCACCTACGAACGTGTCGTACTGATTTGGTAACTTCATTATGAATTCGTGCGCGTGTGCTTCCTTGGCAGCAGCAACGAGCTGCTCCTTGTTGTGCACCTCAGCACCGTACATGATGTTCTCAGCAATAGTAGACGCAAAAAGCGACGGTTCCTGCGCAATGAAAAGAGTAGACAGCAGCAATTCGTTAACGCCTAGTTAAGTAGCACAAGAACAAGCAACACATCACAACGAACCTGGTTGACAACTCCAATCTGCTTGCGCAACCATGAAGCCTTCAACGTAGCAGTGTCCACACCATCCAGAGTTATCGTACCGCTTGTGGGCTTGATGAACTTCGACATCAGTGATACAATCGTAGTCTTACCCGCTCCGCTCTTACCAACAATAGCCACCACCTCACCAGGAATGATCTCCATGTTCAAACGGTTCAGCACCAAGATATTCGGGCGCGACGGGTATGCGAACGACACGTTGTTGAAGCTCACATGGCCCGTGACATTGGCCAGCGTATTCTCTCCATCCACAGCAGGCGGGAGCGACAGCAAGTCAAATAGTGCCTCTGACGACATCCGCGTTTTCTTCATCTCGCTTAAGCACGATGACAAACCCGAGAACCCGAGGCCCATAAATCCACTATACAAAGCAAATGACGTGAGCGTTCCAATGGTAAATTCGCCCGACCCTACCATGGATCCGCCAAAGTACAGCACCGAAAACAACGAGCAGTTGATTGACAGCGAAAGACCACCCATGAATATACCACGAGAACGCTTGGCACGTTTGGCATTCGCCAAGATGTGCTGGTTTATCTTATCAAAGTGGTGCAACTCATCCTGCTCCGCTGAGAACAACTTGACTGTAAAAATGTTATTCAGTCGTTCCTCCACCACCCCCGTCATGTCTATGATCGATTTCTCGTACTTCGTAGTCAACCGACTCGACAATTTACTGAATAGCATCGCACCCGTGCCCACCAATGGCAAGATCGTCAGCGACACCAGTGTCAATTTGGGAGAGATCGTCAACAGCATACAGGACGCACCTACTGCCGAGTTCAATGACCTGTAACCATTGGACAATACGTCCACTACGGCATTGGCTATCTGCTGACAGTCGGTACTAAGTCTCGTCACCAGTTCTCCCACTTTACGATTATTATAAAAGCCCGTATCTTGCAACAACAACACTTTGTAGAGTCTACGTCGTAGTTTAGCGGCAATGCGTTCAGTCACCATACCAAGTGAGTATGTGCGTAGGAACGAGCCTACTGAACCCGTGACGAACGTAGCGAGTACGATCGCCACAAAACCTTTACGACTGAGACCGCCGGGCGCCGGTTTTCCAGATGCCACATCAATAGCTTTTCCCATAATACGCGGAAATACCAAGTTCGTAGCAGACGCAATCGTCATGCCCGTAATACCTACAGCAAGTGGTAGTTTCTCCTCCTGTGTGAGATTTAAAAACCAGCCAATATTGACCGCCTCTTTACCCTTTTGTTTCTTCTTTAAATTATCATCTTTTTCATGTTTAGAAACTGGTGCTACAGCAGCACTAGCGCCACCATCGTATGGCGCACTCAACTTCTGGAGCAAAAACGACTTGGGCGGGATCATATGAAGAAGTGGTTTTAACTAGCGAAGTATACTCAAAACCTAGGTAATAGCATACCTATGTTATAAGTATGTTGTGATATAGGTTATTACCCACGACCACAGATCATTAACCTGTCATGAAGCGTGGCTTGGTCTCGTTTTCCCGCTTAGTTCTCTCGAACCGCCACCATGTTTATGCGTCTACTTCTATCTGTACAATCTCTACGTCTTCATGTCTACATGATGCTGCAGTTTTAGTAGAGACCCATAAATTTCGTCGTGTAGCTACAAATGTACGCAAAGGCAGCAAAGTCCCAGCCCTTGGACGACACCGAATCTCGCGTGCTCAAGTACTCGGCGACTTGGAAATGCTGTTACAAGAGGCCAAGCAATACGGTGACAAGTTCCAGCCTAGTACCGAATACTTCCGCCGTGTTGGTGCATTGCTGCAGGTCTGCAAGTCGAGAGAGCACTACACTGCCGCAATTCCACTCTGTAATATCGTGCAGCGGTCTGCTACGATTCCTGGAAAGGTAGAAATGGAGTGTGTCAGGATTTATCAGAGAGCAGGACGCAACCTGGAGGTTGTCACTTTAGCTGAGAAGCTCATAAAACAGGACGTGTTTTTGTTGAATCATGCCCTTGCCAGTGCTATTCAGGCTTGTGCAGCCTTAGGAGAAGTGGAAAAAGGGTTTCAGTTCTTTAATGCGGCGGTGCAGCGAGGCTCAATCCCAAACTTGGGGGTGTATTCGGCGTTACTTGCTGTTGCAGGGGTGTCAGGGGATCCCCAACGAGTGCAGAATGTGCTGAACCAGATGGAAGAAGCAAGCGTCAAGATGAACAATATTACGTTTCATAACTTAATGAGTGTCTATGCACGTGAAGGACAGACGACGGAGGTACTGGCACTGTTTGATAAGATGCAGAAGAAGAAGATTCCAGCAGATGAACACACGTACGCGATTCTCATGGATACGCACGTCGAAAGTGGAAATTTTGACGACGCTATAGCAGTCATGGATGACTTGAAGAAGACGACGCTGCAACCTAATCTTGTGCACTACAATGTCTTGCTTAAGGGATGTGGCAAGAAGAGTGATTTGACCTCTGCTTTTCAGCTGTACGAGGAGATGAAGGAACGCAAGATTCGACCGGACCTTGTGACGTTTATTACCATGATGCACGCTGTGTATCATGGTGAGCTAGGCTCAATTAATCAGAAGAAGGTGAAGGCAGCCCTTGTAGGAATGGGTCTGATGGGAGCTGCGTTCGTCCCGTTCATCAACTACGAGGAGTACATGCTAACTACGCTGTTCTGTGGCAGTCTCGTGGGCTCTATGGGTTTGGCTGCGTACATGAATCCGGATGGCGTCATCCGTGCGCTTTATCCTAACACCGACGAGCCTCGTAACGACAGCATTATTGAGGCATTCTTTCGGCGGCTGCGCGAAGAGGATCACTGCGGAAGATCTATGTATTTGTGGCGTGAAATGCTAAAGTTTAACGTGCCTGCAGATCCACGTGTGTATGACGTACTGGTGCGCACCTGCGTACGCAAGCGTCATCCAGAATTGGCTTATGAGGCTTTATTCGAAGAAAAGTTGCCACTTGTTGACAGGGAAGATGCTTTTGTTATATCGCTACCCACGACGCTGAATCTGTTGCACTCCCTTTTGGCCCAGAAGCGTCTGAATATGGTGGACACCTTGTATGATGCCGCTCGTATCCACAACGTATTTGATAAGGTATTCTCTGAAAAGAGCGGTTCCTACGTGTACGATTTGCGTACATTTCTGAACGAGCAAGTACGCAGCTACACAATCATCAGGTTGATGGATGAGCTGCGCGCAAAGGTGGACTCGTCCAAGGGCAAATTTGTTGTCCCGAACGTTCAGTTTTTGGTTCAGCACGGATACGAGCTGCTTGACCGTCTTGATGCAGACAATGCGAGCCTTCGCACACTGTTTTCGATGGATGACATGACTTGCATTGGCGCTTCAGCGGATGACAGGACCCTTGCACATTACTATTTTCGGCTAACTGTTCCTAAAGAGCGACTGCAGAGATATTTCGAGACCACGCCTGCAAACGCGGGCAAGGAGCGCCGACTTTAATCAGCCACGGTCTATGGGTCGAGTTGAAAGCAGAAGGACCTTTACAAGTTTTGAGTTTACACGACGATTCAGTAACCGGAAATGTAGCTCAAAACAGACTTGAGGCCAAGATGAGATCCATTTGCGTAGTAGACTAGGCTGGTCATTATGAAAGTATGTGTGTGAGCCCCATTCACAACATTGGGTAAGGGCCAATATGAATATTGTCTTAGCTAATATTGTTTGACAATATTGCATAATATCGTCGGCGCATTTCCTTGAAGTTGGAGATGCTACATATAGTAAAAGTAAAAATATAGAAGAAGATTTAGTTTCTTTGCGCCTTCAACTATTACATACCATTCTTTTTCCCTACAACTAAACGGACACGTTTACTTGTTTAGCATCGTCTGTGTAGCGGAGCTGCACAGCTCTTTAGCCAGAGGAAGACTTTCGGCTGGAAGCCTCTTAGTTCTAGAGAACTAGATAGAGTTAAGGCTAAAAGCCACTTAGTTCTAAGGAACCAATTAAACGACTGAAAGTCACCCTGTTCTAAGGAACTAGGAAAGAGACTTTAGTCAGTCAAGCAATAAGCTTAAGGTTCAGAGAACCAGCGCACAGAGTGCAAGAACAAGCTAGAAGCTTAGAGGTTTAGAGAACCAACGCACGAAGTGCACAAGAGAACAAGTCAGAACGACTTGCGATCTTAATCAACATGAGAACTGATTTTTATTTATGCTATAAGATTTTATGAATAGTCCTACTCTAAGTACACTACACTAGATGAATGACTGTAGTAGTAATTATTATATGCAGACTTTGCTATTGGACGACGTATCGTCTAAACATCTGTGTATGATGTACTTAGTACAGCGTTATCGATTTATCGAATCCCAATCGATAAGATACGGTACTACCGAATACCGTATCTTAACGCTCATACTTAATACCTTTCTAAAAAGAAGTATAATAATGCATTATATGCAATACAAAGGGGAGTTCAGCCGTAAACTCTCGGAAAGACGCTACAACCGTCGTGTAACCCCGTTACACCCTCCCCCACCAGACTGACGTTCCCACATAATGTCACTCGACATTTTTCCTCTTAGAGGTAGTGCTTTAGCGAACGTTAAAACCTCACGGTTTGTTCACGGCACCTAATATGACGCCTCCTGGCAGTGAGTCATAGACTCTTCGGGACCTCGTTGACGACAACCTTGACGAAGTGGCTGATTACGAAAGTGACACCGTCTTTGTGGGACCCGATGAGTCCCCTCTAGCCACCCCCACGGGTGAAGATGACACTAGTCATGCACCGAATCCGTTCCGTGAACGTGGTGCTGCAGATGCGCTAACAGCGTTACGTGACCCGCCTGACGTATCATCAACGGTAACGGTTACCAACCCACCCGACGAGAAGCAACAGCAGACCATCGACCAAGAGGAAGGCGTCAAGCGCCGGACGAAGAATATGGAGAGACTTCAGGACCACCGACAGTACAGGTTCAAACCACCTACGGTGGAAGAACGCCTTAAGGAGGCATCTGGGCATTCCCTTTCTGGCTAACCATTGGGCCTGAGGCCATTTCACCTGAGGATGTTGCCACGCGAACGGCACTTCGACAACGATATCTGGAACCCCACATTACTACACAAAGCCAATACTTGGCACGCATTAACAGCAAGTGCGCGGTACGCCAGTTCCTCCCATAAAGGGTGTTCCCATCCTTCTGTTCGCGGGGGAAACCGAGGACGAAGAAGACACGGCTTTCAGCCACTGGGCGCATTATGCGCGACGTCTAAGCAGCATGTGGGCCCTACGGGGAAGTGCCGATGTGGCAGATGTTCGACTCGAGCGAAAGATGCGTTACGATTACGCTAAATTGAAGGCCCGGGGAAATCCCAACGAACGCATTATGCGTCTGCTACCCAGCATCCCAATATTTCGGCTACACCTGTAGCCGCGAGTTCACGTCAGGCCGAGGCCGCTAACTCGCCTACACCCACCATTACTGGTGAGAAACGTCATCGCCAACAGGTTGACCCTGCGCACGACGCATAAACAACGTCCACGGCGTGTGGGCAGTCCTGCCGAAGGGGAATCTCAAACTCCCATGAGTTCCACGACTCGGGATAACCCCGCCACTTTACCAGATACTGGTTTTGACCATGGCGGCGACGCTTCTGCAGTAGACGCTCCACATGGAACTGAAGGTTCCCCTGCGCATCGAGCAAAGCCGGAGGAGGCCGGTGTATCGGCACAAGCTCATGCCGAGCTTGTTCAAGAGGTGCGGTCCCTCCGTGAGGAAAGGCAGTCGATGAACTCTCGTCTTGAGTCCCTGGAAGAGAGCCGAACCCGAATGCAGGGTCAGCTTGACCTGTTGGTGCAGATGCTTCGTCCCGCGACAATGCCAATGGGCTCGGCGCGAGCGCCTTAATGTTTACTTTGGACGGATCCCGATACTTTTTGAGCATGCCGACATAGAACACAGGATGTGTACGCAATCTACGCGGCAAGTTAAGTGTATACGCTGTGCCTTTCTTGGCAATGACCGTAAAGGGTCCGATAAAGCGCGGACGCAACTTCGTCTTAAAGACAGCGGATACTACATTGGTAGGTAGATTTTTAGCATTTAATAATACTTGGTCTCCGACCTCATAATCATTAATACAACCTCTGCCTTTCGCATCTGCATATTCCTTTTGTTTATCTTGACTATCAGCCATTGCATCTTGCACATGTCATAAGACACTTAGTCGCGTTGCGAGAAACGCATTTACCTGTTTCTTAACAGTATTAGGTCTGACATCAGCAAGCCGATCGGCAACCTCTCCCCCACCAAGCCCTGAACCACTCGGTGGTAGCGTTAACGGAACGCGGTGTGTGTGTGTGTGTGAGGCCATTGACATAGAATGGAGTGTAGCCGGTAGAGGCGTGCACGGAGTTATTGAGTGTAAACTCAACTACAGGGAGCATAGCGCTCCATCGCTTAGGTGTTTCAGCACAAACATGCGGAGGATATCTTCAACGACGCGATTCACGCGTTCGGTTTGAGCATTGGTCTGCGGATGATCCGCTGTGGACATGTCTAAACGGGTGCTCAGCACCTGAAAGACGGACTTCCAAAATTTACTCGCAAAACAAGGATCACGATCAGAAACAATTGCCACTGGCAAGCCATGTTGACGAAATACTCGATCGATAAACAGCTTCACTGTACCCACACCATCGATCGAATCTGGCACAGCCGCTAGGTGAGCCATCTTGCTCAAGCGGTCAACAAAGACCACAATACCTGTAATGCCATGCGAATATTTCGGTAGGCCAAATACAAAGTCCATACTAATGGACTCTTAGCACCCAGTGAGAATAGGTAAATTAGCCAGCGGCGCTGCCGAATGGGGCGAGGGTTTCACCCGTTGACACGTTTCACACGTACGCACATATGTGCTCACCCCCATTTAAATAATTTCGGCCACCAATGACTTTGGCATACTGCCTAATAGGTCTTTTCACGACCCAAATGACCACCGATGGCGGTGTCATCTACCTCATAGAGGATACGATACTTCAAATCCTCGTCATGAGGAACCACAATACGCGGAGGATCCGCCACATCTGTACGATAGTACAACAGCCCCTGATCGATAGAATGTCGATGGAGGCTAGCACGTAGTCATGCCGACAAATTTAATGTCCGAGCCTTTAATCTCATAACTGCCAAGATCATGAAGCAACGCTATACAATGATCACTTTTAGCATACGCCGATCGAATGAGATTACTGATAGAAGACGACAACGTCGTAACATGAGCAAGCTCATAGTCAGGTCTGCGTGACAACGCATCAGCCAAAGCATTTTGCTTGCCCGGCTTATATTTCACCTCGAAGTTATATTCGGCAAAGAATGACAGCCATCTGGCCATTCTCTGCGAGAGATGCGGCGACTGAGTCGCAGTGCGTAACGACGCATGATCGGTATAGATCACAAAAGGCTTTGAGCCCAGCAGATGAACTCTGAATTTGACCAGGGCATACTTCATCGCAAGTAGCTCTTTGTCGTGAACTGGATAGTTCTTTTCTGCAGCTTTCAGCTGGCGAGATTCAAAAGCGATCACACGCTCACGACCTTCATCATCTGTTTGTATCAGAGCACTGCCAATGGCGAAATCCGACGCGTCACAGACGACGCTAAACGGTCGATCAGGGCCTGGCAAAGCCAAAATAGGAGCATGTAGAAGGCTTGCCTTCACCGCTTGAAAAGCATCTTCGTGTTCGGCATGCCAACACCATTCCACATCCTTTTTAAGGAGATTGGATAACGGCCGAGCCATATTAGCGTAATTCTCGCTATACTTGTGTAAGTAATTGGCAACGCCAAGCCATTTACGCAAGTCCTTCTGAGACTGTGGAACAGGCCAATCGACTATGGCTTTGACCTTGGCGGGATCCGCTCTTAGACCCCGTTTCCAATGAAGCACCCTAGAAAGGGAATCTCTTCGCCCCCGAAGATGCACTTAGATGCATTAGCATATAGCTTATCAGTGCGTATGCACTCGAGCACTGCTCGTAAATGAACTATATGGTTATCAATATCTGACCGCCCATTTGCAGCTCGACTATGGACAAAAATGTCATCAAAGTACGTCTGTGCATAACTTCGATGGGGTCAAAACAATTGCGTTACCAAACGGTTAAACGCAATTAGATAGCCCCTGGGGCATCACTAACCACTCCCAGAGCATACCGCTCGGAGTACTAACCGCAGTGAGCGGATATCGCTAGCTCGCATAAGCAATTGACAATAACCATCGACTAAGTCGAGCGCACTGTACATGGTACAACCTACCATATTGTTCTGAAGAACATCCTTTCTAGGTATCGGTGTCTGTGCAGGTATAGTGGCCGCATTGAGCTTATTATAAGCATGAACAATACGCCATTTACCATTTGGTTTCTTAACACAGAAAGTGGGTGTCGAGTGCGGAGATTTACTTTCACGCACCATGCCCGCCGCGTG